GCTTCTGTCAGAGAGACAATGTTGGAGAAGCAACGTCTACTATGTAGCAAAACTACACCATTCTCATCTCTTAAAACCCATGAGAAACCACCAATGTGATTTCGCTTTGACCAAGACATTCCAATGTTGCATTTAACCCATGGAGCTGGGGGTTTAGACCATGTCTTTGAATGCTTGCCTCTATCAAAAATTTTTGATCTTGTATATTTGGAGCCGAGGATTTGAGCATTAATCCATTGTGATGCTTCATCTTTAATTTTCAAAACCAATTCTATTGGTACAACAAGTTTACCTTCAAAGCAGAACCCATTTCTATTCTTCCATAAGTACCAAAGTGTCCATGGAAAGCTCCGACGAATGTGATCTGGTATGTCTGGATTCTGAGCCAATGTAAGCAGATACTGAAAGTTGGTGTATTCAGAGTGAGATTCAAAACCACCAGGTGGACAGGGAAAGTCAGATAATGCCCAAACCTGACGCGCAATAGAACACTGGAAAAGAACATGGTTAGTAGACTCCTTATTCCAGCCACAAAATTGACATCTCAAATCGTAGCTCATTCCTCTCATTTCTAACTTATCTGCTACAGCAATAGCACCACTCAAAGCTCTCCAAATAAAGCATTTTATTTTTGGAGAAGTGTGTAATGACCAAACCTGGACCTTTAAATCATTTAAGGAGGGTTTTGCCTCAGCAGCTGCAATAAGGTCAGAATTGTGTAATTGGTTAGCTAACCAATAACCAGATTTAACTGAGTAGTCCCCACTCCTATTATGCATCCAACACCAAAAATCATCTTTAGTTGTCACAGGTTTATTGAGAAGTATGAGGTTCACATCTCTGGGATAAAATAATTCCTGCAATCTTTGTAAATTCCATGCTCTTTCCTGAAAGTCAATTAGGGCTGATACCTTAAGGTTTAGATCTACAAAGATGTTCATCATGAAGGGAACCCGCATTCTCGCATCAAACAGCCAGGGATCAATCCATACAAGTGAAGAGTTACCATTTCCAATCATTTTTCTGAGACCTGGAAGAAGCAGTTGACGGCCATGAATAATACTTCGCCAAATGTATGAAGGCCGTGAACCCAAATTTGCAGAGAGGATATCAGAATCTTCAAAATATCTACTCTTCATAACTCTAGCAAATAAGCAATTAGGATGCTTCAAAATTCTCCAGACTTGTTTTGCTAATAGGGCCTGATTAAAGCATTGTAGATCTTTAAACCCCAAGCCACCTTGTTCCTTGTTTAAGCAAAGTTTTTCCCAACTTATCCAGTGAGTTTTTTTTTTATGTTCCAATGAATTCCACCAGAAATTAGACATTGCTGCAGTAATTTTTTCACATGTTGTTTTTGGCAGCTTAAAGCAAGACATGGCATAAACAGGAAGAGCCATTGCAATTGCTTTAAGGAGAACTTCTTTTCCTCCGAGTGATAAAGTGCGTTCAAACCAGCCAGATAGCTTAGTCTTCAATCTTTGAAAGATGTAGTCTAACATTTGAACTTTAGAACCACTAAAACACTCAGGGAGTCCAAGATATGTACCTGTTCCTCCTTCATTGTGAATGCCTGTCAGGGATTTGATTGATTGCTGCACCTGAATGTTGATTTTGGAACCAAAGGTAATTGAAGATTTGTTCAAATTAATCCTTTGACCAGTCATAGCTCCATAAGAGTCCAGAATATGCTGAAGTGAAGTTGCTTGCTCCACAGAGGCTTTACAGCTGAAAAGACTGTCATCCGCAAATAGAAGATGATGAATTGCTGGTCCATTTGGAGAAAATTGAATTCCTTGAATAGATCCTTCTCTTTCAGCTCGGTTCAACAGGTGAGATAGTCCTTCAGTGCACAAAGCAAATAGAAAAGGAGATATGGGGTCTCCTTGACGCAGTCCACGCTGAGGCACTACCATACCAAACGGTTGATCATTGATTACTGTTGAATAAGTAACAGAAGAAACGCAGAACATTATCCAATTAATCCATTTTTGGTGAAACCCTAAAGCAGTTAGCAAACCTTGAAGATAACTCCATTCCAGTCTATCAAAGGCTTTGGACATGTCTGTCTTAATGGCCATAAACTCAGAAGAGATAACCGGGTGAGTCCTAAGAGCATGAACCATTTCATGAGCAATTGAGATATTATCAGAAATCAGTCGCTCAGATACAAAAGCTGTTTGAGTATGATGATGAACTTTGAAGTCAATTTATTTTTCCTGAAAAAATAATAAAATAAAGTTTTTTTTTAAAGATTATTATTATTTAGTTTATTTAATTATAGTAAAAAAGGTGGCAGGTAATTTTCCTTCTCTACCTAAAACAGCAAAAGTCAACGTAGAAGTCATCGAAGTAGAACCACACGCAGTCATCTATGTAAGAATATTCAACGTTTGTGTAAAATTTGTAATCCACAATTAAGAGTCCTATTGAATTATATTATGGTTACGCAAATTGAATTGATAAATATTTGTTTGTCAACACGTCATTCCATTATTTAATGCTTGATATTAGTTATATGTTATATGCAAGTAGTTGGAGTGTTGGACCAACTTTTCGTCATTCTCGTTTTTAAAACGTGATTAAGGCTTTGAATGTTCGTAAGTATGTTACATATTGGACAATGCGTATCAACATTTTTTTTTTTTTTTTTTACATTTTTGGATCGACAAAGCCCGATCTATTGCCAATCCATATTACGTGGGGTAACGTGACTTACTGGAGTCGAACTCCGGTAAAAAAGACGGAGTCAAATAGATTTAACCACTTGACTAAAGACACATCCCCATGCGTATCAACATTTTAATACGTTAAATTCTATATTATAATACGCTTCACCTTTATTGCAAACCAAAAGAAATAAGATACATATGTAATTAATGTTTCATTGTATATTAACATGTATTTTATTGGTATAGAGTTAGCCCAGAATATATCAGATAATTATGTGAGTGGTAAAACAAAACGAATTGGTTCGATTTTAGTCTAGTCTGAAGTTTACCGATCAACCATTCAAGGCCTATATATACATTAATAAATATGTATGATCCGTCGTTGGTAAGATTTTAAACAATTCTGCTGATTATTAGTTCCCTAATTTGTTTTTGTTTATAGGTATAGTTAGATGATCTAACTAAAAGTGGAAAATAGTTTAATGGTTTGCCTATAATTGGATTGGAGGGAAAACTAAATCGTGTTACCGATTTTCTTTAAAATAATAGCGAAGATAACAAAACTCAAATCAATTTTTTTTTTTTTTTTTTTTATAATGAATCGTAATTGGTTTTCAGAAAATAGATAGATGGTTACAAAAAAAAATTACTCCAAAAATTATGATTGTGCGACGGTTTGACCAAGTTATTTTGGCCAAAAAATAAAAAATGACCAAGTTATGCTTGTGGATTTATGTACTTCGATCGTCTGGTTAGCTATTTGTTTCGAGAGCCTGCACGTGAGTCTGAAGAGATTCACAATACTTCTAATAACTCAATAAAGTTAATTTGGTAGACTGATCAACCTTATCAGAATATGATTGTAGCGATTTATGTTTGGGTTATTTTGAAAACTACCCTATTTTTAAGTTATACTTTGAAAATTACCTTTTCTTTTTTATTTTTCATGAAAACTACAGTCTTTTATATATAAAATGACAATTTGGTATTAATTTAAATTTAAAGCTATATTTTTAATAAATAACTAAATTTGAAATTTAGGGAAAGGAAAAAAAAAACTAAATTCAAAATAATTTTAATTAAATTTTATATATATATATATATTTAGGGGCTTTTGCAAAAATGCCCCTTTTTCAATGACACTTTTCAAAAATGCCCCTTCTTTAAAACCTTATAAAAAATGTTCTTAAAAATATAAGATTTACCCAAATATGTATGTAACATTATTAAAACATACACAAACTACATTTCTATGTATCTAAAATCTTATAAATACTTTATAAATATCTTATAAATACATTTTAAATACCTTTAAAAACCTTTAAAATATTTTGTAAAACCTTTGAAAAACCTTAAAAATCCTTTAAAATAACTTGTAAAACCTTTAAAAACACCTTATAAAACATTATAAATACTTGGATCGAGTCTTCAAGTAGTAGTTACAATCCATAAGTACCTTATCAACCTAATAAAACTTTATAAAAATTTTAGATTTAAAAAAGGGTATTTTTGAAAATGGACATCTAAAAGGGGCATTTTTGAAAATAGGCACACCAAAAGGGGCATTTTTAACAATTTCCCATATATTTAACACTAATATAGTTTATCAATTTTACATATTAAAATTTAACAAGATAATATCTAAAAAATTATAAAATCTACCACTTAATATTTGTCATGTTATATAAAGTAAAAATCTCCAACACTCCAAACACATTTTTCAACTCAACATTTCACAAAACTTTGCTTCAATTCAATATATAATTCTCTTTGATTTTTTTTTGTTTTAAAAAATAACACATGACTTAACAAAAATCATGACTTAATATCGGTAGAATGTTGTTATGCATTATTTAAAAAAAATATTTATGATAGTAAATTTTTGGAATTGTTAGTTATATAAAAAACATTCTTATCAATAAATTTATTTTCTATTTAAAATACAGATATTTTGATTAATTGTTATTAAGTTTAAGTAAATTTTAGTAAAGAAAAGTTAATTTTCAAAAGTGTAAACAAAAATGGGAAAACGGCCTATTCCACCCTGAACTAAGTTATTTTATCGTTTTCATACACAGAATTTTTGTCTGTGTTTAAACCCTCATGAACTTCAATTTAATTTGAATTTTCATCACAAATTATTCTACTCCGGTAGGATCCCTCAAATCGTGTGACGGTGTTACTGTTCCGTTAACGGATGCTGACGAGGACGACACGTGATCATTTTAAACGACTGCGTTTTGGTCTAGGTGGATTCTCATTTGACAACAAGACAGAACGACGTCGTTTTATAATTTGGGGGGTTTTTAGTCACGATTTAGGGTTCTTCCTTCTCTTTGTCGGGGCAAAATCGAGGGTTTGAGAGATACTTGAGACGAGCAGAGAGGGGGTCCCAGCAACAGAGTGAGACGAATTCTGAGTCGATTGACGGAGAAGATCGGAGATCCGGTATAAGTGTTCTTCGAATCGACAATTTTAAGTCGAAAGGGAAGTTTGGGTCCGATAATGAGGTTAGTCGATCTTCATTCAAATGTCAGATTTTTTCATTTTCGTTGAATGTAGGTTACGAAATTTGATAGATTGACATAAGCACAGTGTCTTATTGAAGATTAACTGCAATTGGGAGTAACATTAGAACTCGTTCAGACATTTCGTCGAACACATGGTGGACATTATATAATGTTACTCCCAATTGCAGTAATTATCCGAATTTGAATCTAAAATATCTGACGTATTGCTTTAATGTTCCAAGTAATAGAATCTGAGAATGTGTTGGTCATTGATTTAGCTGCTATTTTCTAAGCTTAAAAAGAGGTTGTGTCTGATTTATCTGCAGTTTGAATGCTTTGTGTATCATAAATGGCTTTGTGTTTCTTTTAATTATGAATGTGTTGGTGATTGTTTGTGTTTCTGTTAATTATGAATGTGTTGGATAATATTTGACTAGTCAGTACTAAGTAGTTACTAAGCATTTATAAATGTTTGTTACTTAAATTATTGCTAAAGCTAGAGTCTGAAGAGTACTTGTTTTGATAAGTGTTTTGATTGTCTACGTGATAAGTTTGCTGCAGTTTAGTTTACTTGTTTGAAAACTATAATTTGCTAACACTTTGTTCTAATCTCGTTTTTTGTTCATGAAGTCAATTCATGTTATTTGACAGCTCTAGTGCCGATAACGAGGAGGAGCTCAAAAAGCTCGACGAGAAGTAAGTATTCTGTTGAAGATAACCACTGACTAATATTGTGCTCTATCATTGGTATTGTTGTTGTTCTCTGACATATTCCTTTTCTTCTCCTTTGTTTAGGATTGCATATGCAGAAGAAAATTTGGGTGAAAGTGAAGTCCATGAAGCTCATCTTGCTAAGGCTCTGTATTTCATCAGGATTAGTGATAAGGTATGTGAGCATGTCAAAGTTAATAAAATTGTGCACTTCAGAGAACTTCCCTGGTCATTAAATTCTTGCGTTGTGAACCTAGGAGAAAGCCCTGGAGCAGCTATTACTCACTGAAGGAAAAACTATTTCTGTTAGTCAAAAAATGGATTTAGTATTCTATACATTGCAGCTTGCTTTCTTCTACATGGACTTTGATCTGGTATCAAAGAACATTGACAAAGCAAAAAAGTAAGTGTCAATTTGGCTTTTTGGCTGCATTGCGACTACTTTTGATACATAGCACAACTGAAAACGTTGATCTAACACATTGTGTTCTCTCTTGCCAGATTGTTTGAAGAGGGTGGTGACTGGGAGAGGAAAAATCGACTAAAGGTCTATGAAGGCTTGTACTGCATGGCCACCAGAAACTTCAATAAGGCTGCCAGCTTATTTCTAGATTCTATATCAACCTTCACAACATATGAAATTTTTCCATATGAGACCTTAATATTCTACACCGTCCTGACAAGCATCATAACTTTGGACAGAGTTTCTCTTAAGCAAAAGGTATTTGTCAATGGCTCAGTCCTCTACTTCGAGCTTTCTAAATTTAGTAAATGTCAGACTTATTCAAATGATATAAATCGTTGTTGTTTGTTGAAATTCCTTTCCGGGGATGTAAATTTTTTTGAGAAAATGATAAAGTGTTATTAATTTGACAGGTCGTTGATGCACCTGAGATCTTAACCGTGCTTGGAAAGATTCCGTTCCTTTCTGAGTTTCTGAACTCCTGGTATGAGTGCCAGTACAAGGCGTTTTTCTCAGCATTTGGTGAGTTCATTACAAGGACCATATGTAATATTTCCGCATGCATGTTGTTTGGTTTTTCTTTGCGTGTTTACTAACTCCATTATTGGGGGTATGTTCTCTCAGCTGGAATGGCGGAGCAGATAAAGCTTGACCATTACCTGTACCCGCATTTCCGGTTCTACATGAGGGAAGTCAGAACGGTGGTGTACTCCCAGTTTTTGGAATCTTACAAGAGTGTGACAGTTGAAGCGATGGCAAAAGCCTTTGGCGTTTCCGTGGATTTCATTGATCAGTAAGCACACTGGCGAACACTCAATTTACATTCTTTAGTATCTTTTAGTTTACCCCGTCTTTCTGTATAAAATAAAATATCTTAAACCGGCTTCAATGTTTATGGTTATCCAGGGAGCTGTCACGCTTCATTGCTGCTGGGAAGCTTCACTGCAAGATAGACAATGTTGCAGGTGTTGTGGAGACTAACCGTCCTGATGCAAAGAATACACTTTACCAGGCAACAATCAAGCAAGGGGATTTCTTGCTAAACCGGATCCAGAAGCTGTCTCGTGTGATCGATCTGTGAGCAGATTTTATAAATAAAAAGAAAATTGTTTATTAGATTCATGACAATTCATGATCTCTTATTCTTCCTTTAATTCTAGTCACAAACCATTTCCCAAACAAAAGTGTGGGTTTGGCGTCATAGACCGTTTTTTTATAAATCTTTATAATATTATTAATGTATGTTAAAGATAACAAAAAAAATTATTATATTAATGGACAATTCTTGGGTTAACCCCTAGAGGTGAACCTTCACTCCTTTTATTATACCCAATCAGGATTTGCCACCTAAGAGACCCGGCTAGATAAGAAAAGGAGCTCTGTTTTACTCTGCTCTAATGAGATATAAGAAACTATGATATTCTGTGTTATCATATGTAATATGGTGCTCTTTATCATAATTTATCTCTATCTCAAGCCTTACATCTTGTATATATGATGATGCTCTATTACTCGTTACCAGGTAGAGGCACTTGAGAAAGCTATCAAGCAGAACACTATTTTCTTCTTGGAGACTGGTTCTGGCAAGACTCTTATTGCCATCATGCTTCTTCGTAGCTATGCCTACCTGTTTTGCAAGCCTTCACCCTGCTTCAGTGTCTTTTTGGTTCCTCAAGTGGTTCTTGTCACTCAAGTATGTTGCTATATCTTGTTAACTCTTATAGTGTATATAGAATGTGACATTTTTTTTTATGCATTTTTCTCTTGGTTTGTTGGGTTTTATGTATATACGTTCAACTTGAGAGTAACAAATAGTGGGATCAATGTTTTGTAGAATTGTTGTTACGATTGAGCGGTTACGATGATTACGCCATTACGCACGCTGATTATTCAGATTACGGATTACGGGAATTACGCCATCCACTTAGATAATAATATTACCCTGAACCGAATGCCCACTATCACTCCACACAGTTTTGAAGATTACGCACGCTGATTATTCAGATTACGGATTACAGAAATTACGCCATCCACTTAGATAATAATATTACCCCGAACCGAATGCCCACTATCACTCCACACAGTTTTGAAGAACGCGGTTACGATGATTACGCCATCACGCACGATTACGCTGGTTATTAGATTACGGATTACGATGATTACGTCATCCACACTTACATAATCAATACTAAAATCCTATGAGGTCAAAACATTATTTTAAAAGAATTAGGATGCTGAAGAAAATAGGGAAAATTCCCTAAAAAAGCCCCACTTATTTAATATTTGCCAGAAAACTACCTAAACTTTTTTCGTTGTCAGAACAATACACAAACTAATTTGGATTGGAAATAAAAAACACTAACTAATTTTTTTTTCCGATTTCCTCCCTTCGCCGTAACGGCCGTTAGCAGCGTTATCCAAATCGTCAAACGCTGTTAATTTTATTTACGGAAAAATTCCTAAAAAAATCCCCGACTTATTTAATATTTGCCAAAAAATACATGAACTTTGTTGTTGTCATAAAAATACCCAGACTAATTTAACTTGGAAATAAAAAACACTATCTGTTTTTTTTTTAAGGATTTCTCCAACCAAATCGTCAAATGCTTTTAATTTTGTTTAAGAAAAATTCCTAAAAAAACTTGACATATTAAAGAAATCCTCTAAAACCTTCAGTTCTTCAGTAAAATCAACTAAAATCATGTTATTAGTGTGTAACTTTTTCTAAATTGCTAATGCTTTTTTCAACAATCTATCATATGTGAGCAATAGTAAATTAAAGAAATTTTACCCACTTTGTTAGCCGAAGGTTCTTCTTAATTTCTTCAATTTATTGTTGTTCGCATCAGATATAGATAGATGTTGTATGTTAAAACTAGGATTTAATATAAGTATTATATCGATTTTGATTTTATAAGGAGATAACATCGGTTTTTTAGCCATTCTTATTTATCATGTGCAAAGAAAATGAGAAAATAACGGTATTTACTATTTGGTTAACATATTGATAACTGTTACAATAAAGTGGGTAAAATTGGAACAAAAAATAGGTCGTGCTTTTTATTTCAACTTTAAATTGATCTGTATATTTTTCTGGCAAAGAAAAAAAGTTCAGGTATTGTTTTGGCAAATATTAAATAAGTTGGGTTTTTTCTAGAATTTTTCGTAAATAAAATTAAAAACGTTTGATGATTTCGTTAACGTCGTTGACGGCCGTTACGGCGAAGGGAGGTAATCGGAAAAAAAAATTAGATCGTATTTTTTATTTCCAACCCAAATTAGTTTGTGTATTTTTCTGGCAACGAAAAAAGTTTAGGTAGTTTTCTGGCAAATATTAAATAAGTGGGGCTTTTTTAGGGAATTTTTCCGAAGAAAATATTATCATAAAATTCAAAATACAAGCAAATCTGAAGTCTAACATTTAGAAGCATAAGTTGCTGAAATAAATAACAGAGGAACAAAAGAGTTTGATAAATTTTGACAGTCGGAAGAACTGAGGAACCTAGATGGCTGATTCAGATGCTAAACTGAAGCAGACGCTTTATTTCTTCCTGTTGTTCTTCTTCTTTTTGGGTTTCTTGCCACTTTGCTCGAGCCTAGATGGCTGAATTACCACCCGTCCATACTTAGTTCGAAGAGGAACATCCTCTGATGGCTGTATGGTAAGGCTGCTAGCTGAAGCACCATGAGCAACAGGAACAACCTCTGATGGCTGTATGGCTAGGCTGCTAGATGAGGCACCATGAGCTACAGGGGCATTCTGAGGGGAATTCTGAAGATCCATAGTCTGGATTTCTTCTTCTACATGATGAAATAAACTGCTTTTCCTGAAGAATAACAATTATCCGATAATGAGGTTAGTCGATCTTCATTCAAATGTCAGATTTTTTCATTTTCGTTGAATGTAGGTTACGAAATTTGATAGATTGACATAAGCACAGTGTCTTATTGAAGATTAACTGCAATTGGGAGTAACATTAGAACTCGTTCAGACATTTCGTCGAACACATGGTGGACATTATATAATGTTACTCCCAATGGCGTTTCTCGTTGGTCTACGCTACCTTTATCTCCAAAACTGATCCTACCAGCTCCATCGTTCCCAAAACACATTGAGAATGAGTTAGCTGCAATTCCTTCCTTTGCTAGTACGCTAGGAACAGATATGTCTTCCAACCCAAGCCCGAAAAGACCATTTGGAGCAGCACCATCATGGAATACACCAGTCTGAACTTGACCACATCTGCTCTAGCACAGAAAGATTTTTAAGATGAAAACCCAAAGGTTTAGGCTTGAAACATAATAGATGGTTCAAGAAACATCAAATAGTTTTATACTTTTATTATATCACATACTCGGAAGTCTGTAAGGAAGAAATTACTTACCCCAAAGTAACTCGAGCTGGAATAGCTTTGGAACTTTTGTCATTTGAAACTAAGTGAAGTACATCCTCCACCAAGACTCCGGTAGACGAGGTACCATTAGAAAGATACCGGATCTGGTATGGGCAATTACTTTCAGGGGAAGCGCATCGATCACCTCTTGTACATAATGTGCTATTACAAGGAACTTTAGTACTTGTCGATGAAGCATTAGGGCTATAAATATTGAGGTCCAAACTCTGGTCAACAAAAAAAGGAAAAACCTATATAAGGAACCCAAAAACTCGCAGATATAAAAAATTTCTTAAGATACAACACAAAAAAATGTCAATAACGTAAAATCTAAGCACAAGAATATCTTGTTCACTAAAATTTTCTTACACAAAATTATTAGCTTTGAAAACATAGAAGCATCCTCGATAAGTCTAGTGTCAATCTCACTGTATTTAAGAGTTGCCCAAAGTCAGATTCTATGCAATAATTGATCTTTATACCACAGCTAAACCCTGACTTAAAACAAACCCATAAAGTTCTTCACAATCTAGACCAAAAACTCAAGAGAACAAAAGATACATCAGCAAGCATCATACTATAAGCAATAATTAACATTACCGAGCCACCAGGCGCTTTCAGTTCACGAACACAATTGGTGCAGTCACAGGGCAACCAAAACAAGTCACTTCCAGTATCTAAAGCAACCAGAAACCAATCAGACGGCGTCCCAACCGTCACATTAGCGTAATGCAAACTGTTACAAAACATCAACCAAACAAGTCAGCACAAACATCTCCAAACCTTAACTCTCTCATAAACAATTCACGCCTCCATAAAAAAATTAAACTTGAAACTAACTTCAAGCTCAAAATCAGTAATTGACAACGAATTTAGAAAACCTTACAATCCTAGGGCATCAACACGAATAGTTTCGTTGCCGTCAGAGAAAGTAACAAGTGATTGATCTTCGTTTGCAAGTCGACGACCTCTGATTAACCGATCACGATGAGCCATCACTCTATAATACTTAGAAGAATCTCGATTAGGTAAACCATCTCCAGGTAAAACCCCAACAACCTGATCGGAGAAACGATGATGAAATTCAAACCCAAATTCACCAAATCCTTCGCATCTTTCCAAAACCCAGCTCGAAGCTAACAAAATAATCAGACCCAGAAACAAAATTCTACAGCTTGAGTACCAAACCATACTGGTTCGTCGTAAAAAAAAGTACTCCGCCGAGATCTCGGAAACTTTCCCAGAAAAAAAAAAAACGAAACTTTCCGAGAAATACTCAAAACCCAGTATAAATCTTCTCTAGCTAAAGAGTAAGAAAGAATCAAAATGAGAATTTTGTAAATGAAACCGAGAAATTAGGCAAAAGAAGGATCGTGAAGTAAAGAAAGTGAGAAAGCTCCAAAGTTTTCTCCTTTGTATGATGATGAACTTTGAAGTCAATTTATTTTTCCTGAAAAAATAATAAAATAAAGTTTTTTTTTAAAGATTATTATTATTTAGTTTATTTAATTATAGTAAAAAAGGTGGCAGGTAATTTTCCTTCTCTACCTAAAACAGCAAAAGTCAACGTAGAAGTCATCGAAGTAGAACCACACGCAGTCATCTATGTAAGAATATTCAACGTTTGTGTAAAATTTGTAATCCACAATTAAGAGTCCTATTGAATTATATTATGGTTACGCAAATTGAATTGATAAATATTTGTTTGTCAACACGTCATTCCATTATTTAATGCTTGATATTAGTTATATGTTATATGCAAGTAGTTGGAGTGTTGGACCAACTTTTCGTCATTCTCGTTTTTAAAACGTGATTAAGGCTTTGAATGTTCGTAAGTATGTTACATATTGGACAATGCGTATCAACATTTTTTTTTTTTTTTTTTACATTTTTGGATCGACAAAGCCCGATCTATAGCCAATCCATATTACGTGGGGTAACGTGACTTACTGGAGTCGAACTCCGGTAAAAAAGACGGAGTCAAATAGATTTAACCACTTGACTAAAGACACATCCCCATGCGTATCAACATTTTAATACGTTAAACACTATATTATAATACGCTTCACCTTTATTGCAAACCAAAAGAAATAAGATACATATGTAATTAATGTTTCATTGTATATTAACATGTATTTTATTGGTATAGAGTTAGCCCAGAATATATCAGACAATTATGTGAGTGGTAAAACAAAACGAATTGGTTCGATTTTAGTCTAGTCTGAAGTTTACCGATCAACCATTCAAGGCCTATATATACATTAATAAATATGTATGATCCGTCGTAGGTAAGATTTTAAACAATTCTGCTGATTATTAGTTCCCTAATTTGTTTTTGTTTATAGGTATAGTTAGATGATCTAACTAAAAGTGGGAAATAGTTTAATGGTTTGCCTATAATTGGATTGGAGGGAAAACTAAATCGTGTTACCGATTTTCTTTAAACTAATAGCGAAGATAACAAAACTCAAATCAATTTTTTTTTTTTTTTTTTGATAATGAATCGTAATTGGTCTTCAGAAAATAGATAGATGGTTACAAAAAAAAATTACTCCAAAAATTATGATTATGCGACGGTTTGACCAAGTTATTTTGGCCAAAAAATAAAAAATGACCAAGTTATGCTTGTGGATTTATGTACTTCGATCGTCTGGTTAGCTATTTGTTTCGAGAGCCTGCACGTGAGTCTGAAGAGATTCACAATACTTCTAATAACTCAATAAAGTTAATTTGGTAGACTGATCAACCTTATCGGAATATGATTGTAGCGATTTTTGTTTGGGTTATTTTGAAAACTACCCTATTTTTAAGTTATACTTTGAAAATTACCTTTTCTTTTTATTTTTCATGAAAACTACAGTCTTTTATATATAAAATGACAATTTGGTATTAATTTAAATTTAAAGCTATATTTTTAATAAATAACTAAATTTGAAATTTAGGGAAAGGAAAAAAAATCTAAATTCAAAATAATTTTAATTAAATTTATATATATATATATATATATATTTAACACTAATATAGTTTATCAATTTTACATATTAAAATTTAACAAGATAATATCTAAAAATTTATAAAATCTACCACTTAATATTTGTCATGTTATATAAAGTAAAAATCTCCAACACTCCAAACACATTTTTCAACTCAACATTTCACAAAACTTTGCTTCAATTCAATATATAATTCTCTTTGATTTTTTTTTTTGTTTTAAAAAATAACACATGACTTAACAAAAATCATGACTTAATATGGTAGAATGTTGTTATGCATTATTTAAAAAAATATTTATGATAGTAAATTTTTGGAATTGTTAGTTATATAAAAAACATTCTTATCAAAAAATTTATTTTCTATTTAAAATATAGATATTTTGATTAATTGTTATTAAGTTTAAGTAAATTTTAGTAAAGAAAAGGTATTTTTCAAAAGTGTAAACAAAAATAGGGTATTTTTCCAAATTTACTCTTTTTGTTTAGCATGAGCCATGAATGATAGAAACCGTTAAAGATGTGAATCTGAAGAAAGTTACGAAACAATCACATGCATAATTTGTAATTTACAAACAATGAGCCTTGAAATCATGGGTAAATGCAAAATGAACAAGTTGAATGAAGTTTTGGTGATGCTTTCTTGGACTTGAAGTTTAGAGTAGCATGGACATTGTTAGCTAAATATATGCATCTCATAGTTTGAATAGATAGCATAATACCGCCTCAGTTCATAATATCAATAGATAGCAGACGCTTTCAATGTGTTATACATAGATAGCATACCGCTCTCTAAATTTAATTGTGTTATACATTATTTTGCCATAATTCAAGAAGATATAATTGTCTAATCTTTGGCAAAAAAAGAACTATGTTCACAAAAATCTGATTTCATGTACATGTATAATGGTAAAATGAAAATCAAGTTGACATCAAAACTAAAACTATGAAATAACTATCAAAACTCCAAACGTCGAGAGATTTGACAATTATATTTCAACAACAAGATTAAAAACTAATCTGAAACCGGTTTTGATTAAATTTTGACAGTTTTCGTTTCATTAAAACAAAAACACATTTTAAAAATAAATTAACAAATCAAATTCAAAACCAGGAAAATAAACTAAGACGAAATCAAATCTGGGTAAATCTGAAAATAATTAAACTTTCTATTTTAATGGAAGAATTCAAAAATAAAACCCAACCTTTCTCTATAAAATCATTTAAAACTGTATTTTTCTGTATATAATTTTTTTCTCATTTTTATAAAAAACTGTCTTTTTTTTAATGAAAATAATAAAACTCACATCAAAATTTAATTTGTTCCTTGAAATAGCTTAATTGATTTTTGACATGTCCATATACAATTTATTTAGTCAAAAATGAATTAAGCTATTTCAAGGAACAAATTAAATACACTTTAATTTGCTTTAAATTAAGAGTCTTTCTCTAATGAATAAAAAGTTTTGAAGTATAACTTTCTTACTATTTCTTAACTTTTGTTTTGCATAATTTTTCTTCATTGTGGATATATATATAAGGCACTCAGCCACTCACCTTAATCATCTGCTTAGCCAAAGAAAAAAAAGAACTTAAAAAAAAAAATTGGATACTCTTAGTCTTAAATAATCAATCGAATGATGATTGCTCGTTTTGTGCTCAGCATTCTGATCGTAGCGGCCATAGTTTCTGGTAGTGAGTTTTCTAATACTCGTGATGCAAAAGTAGAAAAAATCTTAAAGAAACTCAACAAACCTGCTCTTAAATCTATCAAGGTTAATGAAATTGTTGGTTCACACAAAAATAATTACACCTATCAATTTTTCTCATTAAATTTTAATTCGTGTATATTTGATAATCTTTATACAGAGTCCAGATGGAGATATAATAGACTGCGTTCATATGAATAATCATCCAATTTATGATCATCCTTTATTCAAAAACTACACAATTCAGGTTCTTAATTAGTTCTCTTATAATTATAATTTTTAACATAAAGTTCTATACTTTTGCTTTATAATCTTATTAGATCCAAAACTCTCATTAGATTATACCAGAAATAATTATACAAATCGTTGATAATCTTAACACTATATTCAAAATCAGGTCAATAATACTCTAAAACATTGTTTTAATTGGTTGGATTAACTGCTCTTGGGCTAGCCTTTCTTATGTTTAATTTGATATTTTTTTCTAACATTGGTGTGTCATAGATGAAACCAAGTTCTTACCCTAAAGGTCAAAATAATGAATCTTCAGAGAGAGAGAAACAAAGTGTTGTGACTCAACTATGGACAGTTAACGGGAAATGTCCCGAAAACAGTATTCCGATCAGAAGAACGAGAAGAAAAGAAATTTTACGAACCAAATATATGCAAAGATACGACAAAAAGAATCCAAACATAATAAATCATACTAAAGCATCAACTAGTAACTCCATACATGAGGTGCGTACATATATATAGTATAATTCAATAAGAATTTGAAAAGTCATGATTGATTTACTTGTTGATGTAAGTGTATATATATGTATATTATATGTGTTTGTGTGTGTATATATACAGTACGCCCAAATCCAAGCGAAAGGAAAGTTTCATGGAGCCCATGCGGATATAAATGTTTGGAAACCTTATGTACAAACACCAAAAGAGTTTAGCCTAGCACAAATGTGGGTTATGGCTGGTCCGTTTTCTGAAGTTAATAGCGTTGAAGCTGGTTGGCAGGTTTTCTTCTTCTTCTTACGGCTACATTTTCATACATATTTATATAATTGTCTTTCATTATCTCCAATCTCCTATTCTTTTAGGTGTATCAAGATCGTTACGGCGATGACAACCCAAGATACTTTATTTTTTGGACTGTAAGTTAATGTTCTTAGTATTATTTTGATTTCTTTTTATTTTGACCAAATATGTATTTATAAAACATTTGTTTTGTGTGTTGTCGGGTAATAATATGGAAATAGGCGGATGGGTACCACTCAGGCTGTTACAATCTTGATTGTCCAGGATTTGTTCCTGTCAGCCAAAACTTTGCCCTAGGTGCAGCCGTTAGTAATGTTTCCACCTTGAATGGTCAACAATACCACATTCCCACAACTATATGGAAGGTTTGTATAATTAAGACTATTTTTAACCATATAATTTAGATAAGTATACTCTTATGGTATTTTAAACTATAATTAAATGTGTTGTGTTATTATAGGATCCACATACAGGGAATTGGTGGTTAAAATTTAATGACCATGAATTTGTCGGATATTGGCCTTCCATATTGTTCAACCATCTAAAAGATGGTGCGACCGAAATTCAGTGGGGAGGTGAAATAATAAACTTTAAAGATGGTTCACTTCACACGACGACGCGAATGGGGAGTGGACATTTTGCAGAGGAGGGATATCAAAAAGCTAGTTATTTCAAGAATCTTGAGATAATTGATGAACATGATATTCATAATAAACCTAAAGAAGGTTATTCTTATATGACGCAAGAGAGTTGTTATAACATCAGGTCTGGCTATGCTAAGATATGGGGAGTTTATTTTTATTATGGTGGCCCAGGTCGAAATCAGAATTGTAAATAATTATATACATAATGTAAATCTAAGCAAACTATAAAATAAAAATATATGTGCTATGGGAAATAAATTTTCAGCTAATTAATTTAAGTCTTTAGACCATATGGAGTGCTCGAATTGGTAAATGCAAGAGGAACAAATTGGATGAAGATTAATTATGATTTGGTGATGCTTCTTGGGCTTGAATTTTGTAGTAGCATGAACATTATTTGAAAGATACATGCAGCTTATAGTCTGAATATATAACATACCGCCTCTCCAACGAGAATGTCTCATAACCCATCCCATGCATTGTAAAGCCCAATGAACTCTTTATCAAAAAAAAAGATAATCAATGAACTGATGAAAATAGTCACGAAAAGTTCCCGCGAAATTAATTACACGCATTAGCTTCTCTTTTAAAAACAAAGTTTGGTCGTAGAGTTTCTGTCAATTATTTCTCTCGACTATATACATTAGAGACCCAGCGTGATATTTGACCTTCACATCATTCACTATGTCAACGTTATTGAATTTTTAGCCAACTCGATAATGATAGTTTGAGACCTTTTTTTTGTCAAAGGATAATTTGAGACTTTGAATCGTTATTTTGCAATTATCCACCTCTTTAATTTGAATCCCAATCTGAACCATGTCCATATATTCTAATATTCATATAGAGTGTGACATTGTTGTTCCAATATCGTTAAAGACAAGCTACTTGGTTAGTCAAATCTTAATATTAAAACCAAAAAAAAAAACTTGGTTAGTCAAACCAAAACACAAAACTATTCTACCCAAAAAGTAAACTCTCTTATATTGCTCATTTTTATTAAAAGTCTTCTTTTATTTTCACTATAAATAGTTTGAAAGCCTTTTACATAGAATTAGACCTCATACCCAAATCAAGAATATTACCTCTAATGGCTACCCGCCCTTCAGTGAGACACCCGAGCCACAACCATCCTTTACGCGGTCACAAAGCCCAAGTTGAAGACGAGATCATCTGCTCTGGTTGCGACCTAGACCTAATCGGTGCCTATTTCAAGTGCACAAAGTCAGAGTGTGATTACTTCTTGCACAAGTCATGTTTCGATCTCCCACGTGAGATCCGTCACAAGTCTCACCCTGATCACCCTTTGATCCTCCTCTATTCCCCTCAGAATAATCATTCCACGTATACATGTGACGCATGCGGTGAGTATGGATCGGGCTTCACTTACAACTGTTCTATCTGCCAGTACGATGTTCATGTTGGATGTGTGTCTATGCCTGAGACCATGAAGCATGACGAGCACGCGCACCCGCTCGCTTTGATCTACAGTGCTCCTTGCCCAAATGATCATATATTTACCTGCGATGTTTGCAATGAAACTATGCCGCATAATCTGTGGTTGTACTATTGCCAGAAATGTGACTACGGTGCTCATTTACATTCATGTGTTGCTGAAGAAGAGGAAAAGCCAGAGAAAGGAGGAAGAGGAAGAGGAAGAGGAGGAGAAGGAGGAAGTAGTGGAAATGGAGTGAACAGAGGAAGGAGCTCGGCGAATTCAGAGCTGGCTGCGATGTTGAAGGCTCAAAGAGAGATGGAGCAGATGCAGATTGCTCTTCACTTGGAGATGCAAAGAGCTAAGATTGATAATAAGTCAAGAAAGCATATGCTCAAAATGATCTAAGATATTATGAACTCATCTATTGCTCTCGGAAGAAACTCTAAACAGTGCCGGTCCGAGCATTTGTGAGGTCCTACACGAAAAATAAAATGAGGCCCAATATATTTATAAGTTTTAGGGCTAAAATTTTTTTTTTTGACCTATTGTTAGTAAGGGGCTTCTGCAAAAATGCCACTTTTCAAAAATACCTCTTTTTTAAAATCTTATAAAATATGCTCTTAAAAATATAAGATTTACCCAAATATATATGTAATATTATTAAAACATACACAAACAACATTTCTATGTATCTAAAATCTTATAAATACTTTATAAATACCTTATAAATGCATTTTAAATACCTTTAAAAACCTTTAAAATATCTTGTAAAACCTTTGAAAAACCTTAAAAATCCTTTAAAATAACTTGTAAAACCTTTAAAAACACCTTATAAAACCTTATAAATACTTGGATCAAGTCTTCAAGTAGTAGTTACAATCCATAAGTACCTTATAAACCTAATAAAACTTTATAAAAATTTCAGATTTAAAAGGGGCATTTTTTAAAATGGACATCTAAAAAGGGCATTTTTGAAAAGAAGCACACCAAAAGGAGTATTTTTAACAATTTTCCCAAAAGAAAAGCAATAATAAACGAAAAGACAATAAATAAAAACAAGCAAAAAGTGAAAGAGTTTTAGAGTCAGGGCCGGCCCGCAGGACAGGCCACCTAAGCGGTGGCTTGGGGCACCACAATTTTTTTTTTTTAAAGGTTTTTTTTTTTTTTTTGGTAAAAAGGCCCATAAAATGAAAATATTTGGTAGAAACTAAAGTCTTTTTCGAGAAAAATAAATAAAATAGGGCCCAAACAATTAAATTTGAATGTAATAATATTCAAAATATCATTATTTTTGTATAATTTACTAAAAGAGTAAATGTGGAAAAATACCCTCTTTTTGTTTAGACTTTTGAAAAATACCCTCTTTTTTTTTTTCTTTTAAAAACAATTTTAAAATTTATAAATTACTAAAAAAATCTTATTGAAACTTAATAATAATTAAGCAAAAGGATCTATATTTTTAATATCAAATCAATTAATTGGTAATAATTAAATATCTAATTTTTAAAAAGTTGTCCATTGACCAAATCATGTTCGTCTTTCCCCATGGATGATGTTTTGTAACTTTGAATGTTATATAACTAATAGTTCCAATGATTCATCATCCTAAATATTTGTTAAGAACAATAATGAATAATAGCATTCTATCAATGTTAAGTCATGATTTTTTTGTTAAGTCATATGGTGCAGATTTTAATTATTCATTATTATTGAAAAAACATAAAATAGTTTACTTTGCAAAATATGTTAAAGAGAATCGTTTAATTGAAACAAACTATGGTAATATGTTTAGTTAAAAAATGTGTTTCGTACGTTGGAGATTTTTGTGTTAAAAATATATATAACCATGATTAATATTATTTCGAATTTAGTATATATTTTTCTCTAAATTTCGATTTTTTTATTTATTAAAAATATAGCTTTAAATTTAAATTTGAACAAAATTGTCATCTTATATATAATTATAGTTTTAATTTAAAAAAATAGAAAATGGGTATATTTCAAAGTATAACTCAAAAACAGGGTATTTTCAAAATCACCCTTTAATAAATATATGTTATGAAACATATATATATATTTAAAAATACATAATGGCAAATAAATTGTTATAATGCTTTTTGGTATATGCACTTTCTGTTTGTGTTTTTTTTTTACATTTCATAATCCAATTTTTTTATCGGTGATCTATGGTTGAATAAAGCAGAATTACAAGTCATTAGCATTAGTTGTATTGCTAAATCCTTAGACATATATTTTCAAGTAATTTTCGTGGTACAAGTAGATTACCACATCCATTAATTTTATTCACCAAATCAATAGAGTTCTAAACTTTTAAAATGTATCGATATATGTTCTTATTAGTTTCGTCATACTCGGTTTAATCTACCCCATGCTTTAACAATATACATATTGGATGTGATCAAGCTAGCTTGCTACAAAACATGTAAACAGAGCACAAAATACTCAAGTTGATGCTTAGCAAAGCAACTTTGTTGGTCGTTCACTACTCACTCTTGGAACACTTTTGAGCTAAATTTCCCATCTTTGTACTTGGTTTTCAGACCAATTTAAAGGCAAGTTGGAACACAAGTCACGCAACATTAGCCAGAAAAAAAAGAATTTAAATAAACAAAAATCTAGTATTTTTGTGTTTCTTTGTACATACGCTGAAAAATATAACATTACTAGGAGTCCTAAAAAGAACTGTAGTTTACATGAGACTTGAAGAAGAGGAAGAAGAGTAGACCCGACTCTTGAGATAAGCTTAGAAATATCTGAACTGCGCGGTTTGACTGCATTATGAGACACGGGACGATGGAGAGAGATATTAAGGGTCACGTCTACACATCAGGCAACAACCATGTTGCAAGGTGGTTCAATTTCACAACTCACAACATGTAAACAGAGAACAAAACACTTAGGTTTATTTCTTAGCAAAGCAGCAAAGCTAAATTTATTTTCTTGGAACATCTTTGAGCTGATTTTTCCAACTTTTGTATTAGTTTTCATAGCAATACAACTGAAAGTAAATAGCGACAAAAAAAACAATACCATGTGATAAAAGTTATGAGTACTAGGAGTTCTAAAAGGCTCTGAGTTAGGAGAGGGTTTAGGGTACTAGAACTACCGGAAGAATTAAAGGTCATAAATTTTTAGTTAGAGTCATATTAGTTACGATTGAATATTGCAGTTTGGTGCTAGACAACGACTTTTCACACACACAAAAAAACAATTGATGTTAAATATTGTTAGGTAGAGCAAATTACATCAAAGAGTGTTTTAAATACGCAAGTACTTAGTTTGGTTACACCAGACAAGAATCTAGTATTATCGTTCAATGGATTTAGTCCCGTGAGTAGTGTCATTTGTTTCAAGTGCTTAAGAAAAAGCCGACCAACTAGTTTCTGGCTCAATGGAACACAAGTCACACAACATTAGCCACAATAAAGAATTAAGTAAACAAAAACTCTATTTTTTTTTATTTTTTTTTTGTGTTTCTTTGTACATGGGCTCTGACTAAGATAATAACATTAGAGAACTAGGAGTCATACAAAGACTCTGAAAGAGAAAGAGAGGTATAGTAATCGTAAACAGCCAAAAGAACTGTAATTTACATGAAAGTCGAGGAGGAAGAAGAGTAGATCAGATTCTTGAGGTAAGAGCTGTCAAAACATCTGAACTGCGCCGTTTGCCTACATTATGAGAGACGGACAATGGAGAGAGAGATTAAAGGTCACGTCTGCACATCGGGCAAGAACCGTGTCTGAGGAGCCAATTGTCTATGCAAGGTAAGTGAAACATGTGATGACAATGAGGCAAGCTTCGAACTGTTTCACCAAGCTGGAAATCCTGCAAAATCACATATCAAGAAGTAATGAGCTAATTAGATGTGCGATTCTACATAATGAGCTAAAACGAAGTAAAATGATGTTAAAACAACCTGAAGACAAACAGAACAGGGGTCTCTGTTTTCAGAAGCATCGGTGTTATTGTTGCCAGTGATTGTCATCTTTGGGATTTTCTCAACAAGTTCTCCTGTTAATCCTTTTGAGCCTCCTGTATCAAAGAGGCTTGTGTGATCATCAAAGGCTGCATCTACAGCTCCCATCTGATCAGGAGAAACAAGACAAGAAGAAGGGATTAATAACTATGGAGATCCTAAAAAAAATAAGGAAATGGTGAAAAACTCTGAAAGCAAACATACTTGACTTTGCACCGCACTTAGCATTGCAGGACCAATGCGTTCTCGTACAAGTCTCCCGCTTAGAAGACTAACAATGACATCAATCTACACAAAAAAAGTTACAAGCAAGATCACTTTGAAGTTCAATCCAATCAAATCCCAAAATTTTCATGCCAAACTTCATAGCTACTTAAAAACAGAGCAAGTAATGCTGCTCACCAAGTAGAGAAAACATCCGAAACCCGACTCATCGGATTTCCAGAGATCAAGCGATGATTCAAAGACCTCAATAGAAAAAACAGCTCCAGAAATGGCTCCAATTGCTGCTCCTCTAATGAAACCACTCTCAGTTTCTTGACCTATCAAAGCTCCTGTAAGTGCCCCAAGCAATGTGCCCACTGAACAAAGAATAAAGGAAACAACTTTCTTAGCTCCAAGCTACAAATTTTCTAATAACCATGAATCAATTCAATCTAATCAAAAATAACAATCTCAGAATTTGCAGCAGAGACAAAATCAGATCCAAAATCGAGTATCAAACTCCAGACAATCCCAAGAACAGTTACAATAAACGAACCTAGTGCGAAGAAGAAGGTCAAGATCGCCGAGATAATGGTACCAAGAACAGCAGAAACGAGGAAATGACAAGCGTCTTTAATTCGTTCGACGAAATTCCCAAGAGAAGGACTTGACGAAAGAGGACAAAACCCAGATTGGAATCTATAAGATGATGATGAGGCCATGTTTTTCTTAAGAACCCAGAAACGATTTCTGATGAAAGCAGAGTTCTTGAAGAGAGGGATTATATAGAAGGAGAGAAAGATGGGGTTTTTGCTTAGTGCTTAAGAGAGAGGAGATGGGATGTTTCGCTACTTTGCATTTAAAGCTTTGGGTGAGTTTGCTTTCATGGCTAGAATTTGTTGTAGGTGAAGAAGGATTATCTTTTAGGGCTTTTATGTGTCTCAATCAGTGACGAAGAGAAACCAAAGTTTCAAACTTTTCGTTTTCAGAAAAAGCACGAGTCAGAGATAGAAGAGAGATGAGCTCACGGGGCAAAGCAAAGAACTTTCGTATTTTCATTTGGTAAAAGCTTTTTCGAAAATTAATTTAGTAAACTTTTTCTTTAGGTAAGCCAAATTTTAGGACGTTATTTCTTAGGTAAATCCATTTGCTTTGAAAAGTAAAAAGGGTTAAGAATAAGATCCTGATTTTGTATTTAGCTAATTCGTGTACATTTGTTTTAATGTTTAACACCATTTACCAACTTTGATTTGGAATATTCTAACTTCATCACAAGACGGTGCCGTCGCATTTAACTTTTGCTGAGTTGACAAATGAAAAAATTGGTTTACATACACTAATTTTGTGGATGTCTACAATGAGTTTATTTGAACGATAAAGTGGTCACAAATGAAATCGTCTAGACCTATGTTGCATAGAAACAAAAACGGATACAGAAAACCAAATGTGTCGAAATACGGAAATAATATTTTCACAGTTTTTCTATCGGGTTTCCTTGTATTTCTAAACAGGAAATAGATTTCAGGTAAAGTTTCCATGCAACTTAGATTTAGACGGTCCATTTTCACCACTAAATTGAATCGTTATAAATTAATATATACTTTAAATATTTAATCTAACAGAGCTCAATCAATTAAAGAGAGTATTTTCTATAAAGTTTGTGGTTTTTAAAATCAATTTAGTGCACTTTACGTCAAAGTAAAAGTTTGCCATATTTAAAAAAAAACCTTGAATTCAGTATGTTTTAAACGATTTTCTCATAAACGTGTGTGAATAAATATGATGTGAAATAATCCACCTAACATTTTTAGATAATTGTAAGATTAGGATGGTACACATCAATTAAAAAAATAGTAAAAATTTGGTTGAGTTCACTTGTCTCATTCCACTTGTTCAAGAATGGTTATTAGATATACCTATTTAACCACCACAATACTTTAATGGGTATTATCACTATCTATGCTCAGAAGAATCAAAATTTAGTTCTCTCACTTCAACACTGTTTCATTTTACTGTTTCGGTTTTTATGACGATTATACCCTTGAAATATATTAATCAAACAATTGAAGAAATTGGAAAAACTTAGATCGAAAAAATTGATATGCGGTGGTGACGATACGTCGATATCTACTCATCCACTATGATCTCATCATCTATGCTCTCCCGTCGCACGATCTAGATGGTACATCCTTTCATGAAAAGATTGTCGTAGTGATGTCGTGCTCCATCCTAGTTCGTTCAACCGTTCTTTTACTTCTCACCACCACCATTTTTTTGCTTTGGCTTTTGCAGAACTGCTGGTCTTGTTATGAAACTTCTCTTCATCTCACTAAAACAAATTATTTAACTTTCTCCATCATCATCCTCTCTCTTTTGCTTATAGTTTTTGCTGGGTGTGAAATTAAAAGATACCAATGGTTTTGATGGTTCTAGATCCGACACAGACGTGTCGATAGCTATGCAAAACAAATCATCAAAGCGTCAGTCTTCGATTCAGCAAAAAGGAAGACCAAGGCGGGTGTTGGTTCCCAAATTTTGACAAAGTGATTATTCAATTCCGACGAAACTGGTTATTACAACAATGGTGATTTAGATTTTGAAGACAAATAGAACTAATCCCTCTGTTCTTGCCATCCTAACTAATATATAACAATTGTTAATATATTAGTTACCGAGATAACTAATGAACAAATAAATATTTTAACATGTTACGAAAAAAATAATTGCTAATCTATTAGTTACCGAGTAAAATTAAAACAAAATTCGTTGTTAACATGATAAAATTATAAATAATTTGTTATGTATATAGTTATCTATGATGTAGCATACAATTTATCACTTTAAAAGATATGTTAGAGTGATAACTAATTTATTAATGTATAAGTTAACGGCAATAATTAAATTATCAAAGTAAATAAACATGTAAATGTATGAGTTAGTTGATATTAATTATATAATAAATAATTTGACACGAGAAACATGTTTTCGACATAAGACGAATAGTGCGTTTACCTTGCTAATGTTTAAAAAAAACATCTTGTTATAAGTTATATCGACATAAAATATTATATAGCGTGCTAATCAAATAATTAACTATCTAAGCTTGTTACCGCTAAAACTTATTTTCTACTGTTGTATCTAAACATTTTTATTTTGATAGTTTTCTTGTTAACGCGCATATGTAACAAAGGGTATTTTTGGTATTAATGGAAGTCAGTTGAAAGAGAACTAAATAACAAATCTTCATGGTTAGATTCTTTATTTTTCATTCCTCTAGGCATAGATATTTAACTCACCCTACTTTAATATAAGTTGACAACACCAAAAAAAAAATCACTATATATATATATATATGTATATCGATTTAACAAGCATATCCTTAAATTGATCTAAATTTCGTTCAATTTATTTTTACACTTAATGCAACTATGATTTCTCATCACATAACGGGAACTACAAACTTTGTTTACTTTAAACAAAAATAATAATGAGTAGTTGTGAATTGTGACTTGTGAGCTTTGTCTCCAGATTCAGTTAACAAAAAAAAACGTGAACACTATGCCAAGCAATTATTATTTTGTCTAAATGGTTGTTGGCTTTTCTACAATTCATTCCTCGTGGAATAGTTCATTGTTGATAAATCATAATGGCTCCGATTGTATTCAAAAGAACTACGAATATCAATATATATACACTAATCGCGTACAACAATTTTACCTTGTTTGTTTCTCTTAAACCCAACATATTATGTAAGACAACCTAATTAGGAAACAAAACAAAAGTTTTTCTACTGGTAACTTCAATATATAAATATCTAAATTTCATGGATCTAAATGTTATTTGTGGACATTCAAAGCAAAACAAAAAGTTATAACAGTTTAACTAAATTAATCCAAAGAGTGGTTCAATAAGATATGCTACGGCCTACGGTCCTTGGAATAAATTTGGCTCAAAATCGATTAGATAAACTATTTTAATGATAAGTAGTGTTAATAATGAGATATATCATTTTGTACAGTTTGACTATCCGTAAACGTCTTAAATGATAAGAAAATCCGAATTTATATAAATTTTGGGGATTAGTTTGAGACGATTCGGTAAGGGATTTATCCGATTATTAAAAATAAAAAGAATGAGATAATTTTAAAATACAAAATACGTATTAATTCACTTCAATTGATAAAAGCCAATGAACTTAACAACGACGATCTCTAAACTGAATGAATGGACCGAGTAGCTTTTGTAACGCATCTTTTTTTTTTTTTTTTTTCGTCTGAATAATTCTATATATTAATCAAAAGGTCACATACAAAAAGAGAACAATTACAATCAAACTACAGAACTCATTACACAATAGTAATGCATATATCATCTTCGAACACCTTCTGAAGCCAAAAAGGTAGCCAATTACTACATATGATTGGAACCGTTTCTCTCTAGTGAAACTCCTAGCTATCAAGACTGCCGCAAAATTACACTTCCTATCTTCATGAACAACTTGGCCTAGTTACAAATCTCAATCTGAGAGCCTTCTGTAACACATCTTCTATGCACATGACATTTTTTTAATACATATCTAATACTAATGAATTCGATGTAAGAAGGAGGATGTGTCCATCTCCAAAGTAAAATAAAGTATTCAAACACTTATTTCTCTTAATAGAAAAATAAAAATAAATATCTTAAGTATTATTTAAATAATACATGTAACGTAGTGGCTTCCTTATAATAAATACTCTAACACTGGTGTATATACATAAATGTATACGACATTTCAACAAATATCGGCCCGAAGATATATATTTTCATTAATCCTAAAGACATTTGGGTCCATGCCACTAGGCCAGTCCCATACACACATCAGAGTTACATAAATAGGTAATAGCGAAGGAAAGTTATTAAAAACTCAGGATAACGTATTTATGATAAGAATGGTTTTCTTTTCTGTGTATGGCGTCGTGTTGTACGTGTGTAGACGAAAGAAGATACATGTGTTTGTACCCTTTTTGAGCTCTGTATAAAATTAGCCTACACTCTTATTATATTAGGAAACATCAAACATACAAAGAAAAACTTTCGACGTAACCATTTTTTTCCCAAACAAAATACATTGTTTGGAAGATTTATCTCCCTATGTGACAATTCGTAAATAAAACTCTCAATCTAATTAACAATTCGCAATATAACTATATATCGACAACAATATTATGCATTTTCGTAAACAAAGTTGTGTTGAGTATGAAAAAAAATCTGAAAATGCAAACTTGAGACTTAATAGTTAGCTTAATTAATATTATCAACTTATATGATTAATTGTGTTTAACATGGATATGTTTGTTTGTGGCGCGGGCACAATAAGGTCTTCTTTTCAATTTCAGAGTTCATTACGATATTGGAGTTATATTGAAAATATTTCAATTCTCAAAAGTATGCATGATTTTTAAGACTCGGCTGAAAACAAAAAATATTTTGTCAAATTACTCTTCTTGTATGTTTCAATTTAAGTGATCTTAATTCGTATTGATTTATACATTCAATAAATCAAGACATGATTCATATACCTAAGCTATGATCATCCACACATTAAATCATCAAATTTCTTAAAAATAAATTATATTTTATTCAAATAACTTTTTAGTCATTTTATTCAAATAACTATTTATCAGAACATATACATGCATGTTTTTCAATTATAATTTCAATCAATGCGGTGGAGGTCCTCTTCCACAACCTTTATGTTCTGGAATACAACGTTGTTTAGAAGAACTGACATCATTTGGACGACACATACAAACGTGACGGGTCAAGTTGCAAGCGTACGGTCTCATGCATACTGGCTTGCAGTCATCGTCTCTATCACAATAATCCGCGACTGCATAGTTTTGTCCTTTAAACACAACCAACAAAGTATAACAAAATGAAAATAAAATCACCCAAAAAAAAATTTATATTTTAAAAAAAGTTCAAATGACGAACTTTAAATTGATTTCCAACAAAGCACTTTAATTTAATTCCCTTTTCTGCAAACTCGGTTATTTTGTGAAATATTTTTTTATTAACAAAGTTTAGTTTTAACTATTGGTAAAGAGTAAAGAGATATGTAAATTTCAGTTGGTTTGTTTTATAAGGTATACTTACGGAAGGTAATGACTAGAAGAGAAACCAATAACAAAAGCTTAAAAAATATGCTCTTCATTTTCAAAATATTGTTTTTTTTTTTTTTTTGCTTTCGGTGGTGAAGTTTTTTTTTTTGTTATTTTGATAAATCTTTCAATGGCGAAATTGAGGGTACTCTATATGGTTCTTTATAGTCCAATTTAGGTGAGAGTTGACCAAAAAATCTTGAAAAATTTGTTTGTATAGGTGTTATTAGTACTAGATTTGACTAACCAAAAATAGTCACTATCAAAAAACATGGAAAAGTGGTGAAATTTTAATTGATACTAGATTTTATTAACAACTTTAAAATGGTGACTAAGAATACATTACATTTGGCATTTCAAAATTAATTTGTATTGTTCATAACTTTTAAAATTTAGTTAGTAAGTAATTTAGTTTGATAAATAAAATTTGTAAAGTTATTATTAGTAATTATACGGTTTATGGATCTATTTATCTAAATATAAGTAGATGTATAATTCACATCTTTGAAACGGAGTGGATATCCCCAATCTATATATACATTTTTGGATCATAATTAGCAAATAAATCATAAAGTTGAGAAGTATTTACATTGACATGCCACTAGCATTAATTATTTAGATTTATTTTATTTAAGTAAAGATTTTTAATTGAAATTCATTTCTCATATATTTAGCAAAAGTCTCTACAAAATCTTTCCTTATCTATTTAAGTAAAGATTCTGAAATCAAATATGTTCTCAACAATTTACCAAAAATTTCTACACAATCTTTTTAAAAATCTCGACTTAGTTAACTTCTGATTTTTATCTGCAAAAAAAAAATTAATTGTAACGAGTGATGTAAAAATCGGGAATGTTGATACTACAATTTCTTCTACTTTTTTTTTTTCATATAATAAAAATTATTTTTAGGGATATTTTCTTAAAACCTCTAAACAAAACAAAGGGTTTCAAAAGATAGTTTCTCTTTTGGCGGGTCGATCCGCAAACCCGCAACTCTCTACGGGCTTATCCGCATGAACCTGCAACCCGTAGTGGATAAAAATATTATTCAAAAAAAATAACAAATGATGTTTAATTTTACGGGACGGGGTTATATGGTGCAACGGATTTAGATCAATATTAATATTAAACAATATATTATGGATGAAATCCTAGAATTAAAAATCAAAATTTAATTATAAAATCAGAAACACTAAACAAAATAAACAATATTAACAAAACAAATACAATTTAAAATTTTGCAAAATAGTTTTTTAGTTATAAAAAAATTGATCCGCGGTGTACCACGGGGTAAAATCTAGATTTAGAAGTTTAAGGAGAATTGTTTTTTAAAAAAATAGTTCTGCGGTGTACCGCATGAAAAATCTTTCTCCTAAACTGAGGCAAGAAGAAGAAGAAAGCCAAATGTCGTTTAATTGTATATATAGATATACCATTTAAACCTAAAACACAATTAATATACTCAAAATTATTAATATAGATATATGGATGGTACATTTATAAAATAAGATATTATATTATATACTCTCTATTAATAAACAAAACTAATTATATTTAGATTTTTTAAAAAAAATTATAGCCCCGCGGTGTATCGCGGGTTCAAATCTAGTCTATATATACATTTTTGGATGACTTTTAGCAAATAAATCCTGGAGTTGGAATGTATTTACGGATGAATGCCATTGACATTAATTGTTTAGATTTGTTTAATTTGAATAAAGATTTTTAATTTTATTTCGTTTCTCAAATTGTTACCAAAAATCTCGCCAAAATATTTTCTAATATCTCGACAAATATCTCAAACATATAAAACAGCATTCAATTATTTTCAGTAATAGAAACAATGTCTTAACTCCATATACGATTTATACTAATGGCAAACACTAATTTCTCTACTAATTAAAACAATCATTAGCGAATCGGGTCAATATATCGATTCTCGGTTAACTGAAATGAGAAACAAATTAATGGCATATTCTCCAAATTAATGATAAACTAACGTTACCTAAACCAAATCATCATCAATCTTTTAGAGATAAAGTTTGTTATCTCCTAATTTCCTAATCTTCCCTTAATTATTACAATCATTCATTGTGATAACCATTTTTTTTATTCGTATCTTTGATATTCTCATATCACCTAAACCATAAACCTAGACTTCTACCTTCTCAATAAATACCAATCTTTACTCCACTACTAGATTCATCAAGCAAATATTTTTCTAATCTCATTCCAAACTATACTCGCATCTAGCAAAAATAGCACATACATCCTTCAAGGTATATTCATAAGGTAATCTTTGTTCTTAATTCAAATTTAATTTTTATGTTTGAGATTTTGTTTTTTTTTGTAATCACATAACTGCATTAACGTGAGTATATCTTAATCTTTCTTATAATCTGCAATGTTTTTTCTTTTCTCATAATATTTTTTTCATTTTTGTAGAAGGGACAAATCCTTCAGATGGAAAATAAAACAATGACTTTCTGCAAATTGTCGTCTGCAAATTGTCGTCTTCAACGTTGACTACACCGTCGTCTACTGCGGCAACTGTTACAACTCCGTCTGAGTCAAGAAGACGTGACGACACGCTTCTTCAACAATAACATAGTATTCAAAGCGCCATTTTACATCAACAATTTGTTTTTAACATTATTTTCCAAATTTTTTTAATTAAAATTTTGTTTTACAATGAATATTTTCAGGTAAAGATCCGTTGTGTAACCAACATCGTTGAGTGAACTTTTCTCTTACGAGAAATGAGATAATATTGAATTTTGTTTGTTTTATTACTTATTAGTTTCAAGAGAATCTCAATGGTTTTGATTTTCTCCCATTAACAACTTTGTAACAATTACGGGTTTTTGTACATATATTTGTAGCTTATTTTTGTCAGAATTGTAGCAGTAAGAGTCGTGGATTTTAGACTTGATTCTCTAAATTTTATTTTATTTTATAAATTTTAGACTTAATTATCTATATATTTATTAATTTAATCAAGATATAGTAAACCAAAATTCTTACTACTCAATTAAAACTATTATCTATATAATCTGAAAAATCTGAAAACATGTTTATCGTAAACAATATAATATATAGATATGGATTTCTAACTATATATACTCATCAAATCTTTAAAATATACAGCTATATATACTCATCAAATCTTTAACATTATAATTTTAAATTAGCATATAGTCTCACGGTATACCATGAAACAAAACAAGCAATATAGTGTGGGGTAAAATATTCAAATTTTTAAATCCACCATACATCGTTACTTAATAAACTGTATGTTTTCGCATCTATACATTAAAATTTGAAACCTAAACAATAATAATCATACACTAAATAATACACAGATAGATATCTACATTTAAAAAATATAAATTAATATGATATATCTTTAGTTAATCTTTATAAAAAAAAATTACATTTCTTTAAAAATATATAGCCCCGCGGTGTACCGCGGGTTAGATTCTAGTGGTTCTTATTTTACTAACAACTAAAATTGTGACTTACGAATACATTACACTAGTCATTTCAAAATTAATTTTGTATTGCTTCATAACTTAAAAAAAATTAATGAGTTAGTAATTATTTTGAAACCGGTGATGGTGAGGCAGCCAGACAAGAAATGCAAGTTTTGGAATTGCTTACTTAAACCAAACGTTCGCACGAGGCCACAACGTTTGAATCTGTTCCCAAGTAGGCTGCAAGTAAACGGAAAATGCATGGTTGTATTGAGTTGTTAAAGTTACAAAAACTCAGATCCGAACATGTCGTAAAGTACAAATAGTTTAAAGGAAAAAGTTCAAATATCCCTAAGGAAAAACAGCCTCCAATTTCCTAAGGATCTCTCACTTCAAAAGGGAAACACATAGTACATCTGTTTATCTGTATCCACACAAATTTGAAGCTTCCGTGAAAACCTATATGTTGACGATAAAGATTAAAGACTTGAGGCAATCTTGAACATGTCATTGATGGATAGCTTGAGATTTAAGAGATTACCTCCTCAAATTTTAGTTTTTTTTTTCTGTGTTTGGTTCTTAAACCTTGAACTCGTGGACATGGAACCATTTCGTGGATGACCATTTGTTTCCTTTCACCACTGGACATCCACCTGAAAATCAAAGCAGAGGATATTGAAGTTTAGAGAGACAGATATTTTTTATTAGCTTCAAGGGAAAGCATTAAGAGAGTTTTGGGTGTTGAATCTCTTTAGTCTTTATTACCGTGCAAACTCGAAGGGTCTAGAGAGGCATCAGGCCTCATGTTCCAGAAAAGTAAAGCATCTCGCTTCTTTGGTAGAACAGATAGTCCTTCTTTACCACATTTTGAGAGCTCGTTCCACCACGGGACTGCACTAATGTTTCCTCTTGCTGCAGGGAACACAGTCTCGCCACCATCATCGACATCCGAGCTAAGGTATCGTATGAAAAAAAAAACAAGATGAAACACAGAAATTCACTGAGAAAAAAGGATAATGAGTTTTGTGAGCTACTTACAGGTACATAAGCACAGTAGCTATTCGTTGTCCTCCGTTCTTGGTGTTGAACTCATCTAAGAAATAGTCATAGTGAGGCTCGTACTTCTGCCCAACTTGGTAGTGAAGAACTTGAAGACCTTCTCCATTTTCTACAAACAAAAGCGTCAACCACAAACTCACTAAGGGCTTTCCAAAGGAACAAAACTAAAGATATCAAGAGTAACTTCAACTGATGATCTCAAGATGTGTCAACACTTCCTTTTGTGCCTCAAAGTATTGGATAAACTAAAGCAAAGCGCACTTACCAACAGGAATGAAGGTGAAATCTGAAATCCTTTTCTCAATCACTTCGACAACTTCGTCATGTCCTCTTCTAAGGAAAGTTCCTGAGCTAGTTCTTACTCTACACAGGATTGATACAGCATCTATCAGATAAGAAAAACAAACCTTTCCAAATTAAACTAGAAGGACAAAAGGAAAGAGTCGCTATAAACCTGCTATCCTTGCTCCCACCGGTTTTCTCATCAACCACAGTTGACTTAACCATGCTCGGTTTAGCAAGATTGATCAGGTGCTCACATTCTTCATTGCTCTAAACAAACAAAAATGAAAAGAAATCACATCTCAAACATTCGAAACTCATTTCAAACACAAAATCTCCAAAATCACATTTCCAATCCTTCTCATGGGCAAATGAGGGATACATGTCATTCAAGGGTTCAACATTTCTATACACTAGTGCAGAACAAAGTCAATGAAACATTCTTCAATGAAAGATTCAATAAGATCAAAACTCTAAATTCTACACAAGAACAAAGTCAACTTCATCGATCAATTTCAAAAACAAGCTCAAATCTCTTATCTTGTCTAACAAGAAATACTAATCTAAGTCCTAATTCAAATCAAAATCATCATAGAGAAAAACACAAACTTACCAAGAAATTGTGATAAACAACAGCTCGAGGCTCCCAAGAAATCACTTCAACCCAACGTTCACCATTCCCATCTTCATCTCCATAACTCGTCTCACTAAACATTTTCCAAAAAACCCAAATCATAAAAATCAAAACTTTCAAATCAAAAACAAAAACCCAGATCGAAAATTGTCCCTAACCTTTTTCGTACAATGTTGGTCAAATCATTCGTCTTCGAAGAGTTTCTATTAGCATTAGGTAGCGACAAAATCCCGAGACCCAGAAGAATCAGAATCACTACAAGTAGAAGAATAAGCACTGTGAAAGCTTGTGTTGATCGTGACACAGATTTCCGTGGCTGATAACGAAGATGTTGCTTCGATTTAGACGCCATGGAAATTGATTTTTTTTTTTTCTGGAGATTTTGTTTTGTTCGAGATCTAAAAGAACAACATTGAACGGAAGAGAAATTACGACGAAGCTTAGATTGAAGTTTATTTATATATAATAAGAATTAAGAAGGATTATAATTTTTCTTGTGTGATTGATTCTCTTCTTCTTTGTCTTCTTCGTCTATGCAGACAAGTTAGGAAGGTGGCTTTGACTTTTTGGAAATTTGGACTCGGTCTTTTATATTCTTCTTTTTCTGTTTCTGTACCCGATACTTTTTGATATTTCTGATTCACCCCGTTTGTTTTGACGATTAATAATATTATCCTAATTATTGTAACTGGATCGGTCAACTAATGATTTTTAGATTTGTTTTAATTTATAAAAGATAATCTTGGTCATTCAAGATTTAAAGATATACTTTTTGGTATATAAAAAAAAACTATTTGTTAATTTTGAGACTTAAATAAGCTTTTCATCTAGTGCATTTGTTTCATATTAACTTATTTTGGGGTTTTTTTTTTGGGTTCAAACTGTTTATCTATTCCGCGTTATCCATTTTCACAGTTGTTGTTTCTAACGTACACAAACAAAACAAAAATCAAATAAATCAATGTATATGTATATGTTTATCTATGAATTAAGACGTGGTAAGAACATGTTAGACATAACCAATACATGATTTGATCACTTCTTTAAGTTTATTTGTTTATATTCAAATTGAGATGGTCAACCAATGATTATTGTTAAATAAAAAAGGTCAGTTAATAATTACATAATAAATAAGAATATAACATAACTTATTTTACAATTGATACCAATTAAATTGGAAAACTAATTTAACTTAATATATCTTTTTTTATATTAAGTCATATGCTTACAATTCGTGTATAAAACAATTTAACAATCTTGGAGCAAAAAAAAAAATATATATATATATGATGGTTGTGGTTGCTACAATCACTTCATTTTCGCTTTATACAATTTTTTTTATAATTTAACCAATTATTTCGATAAAAATGACTATATATTCACTAAAATTTAAATCATTTTATCGTTGGATCTATAATGTCACAAGTACCAAAATCAACAAATTTTGTGCACATACTGCACAACACAGTCTTAAATTCGATAAATATCTCAAGCTATACAATTTTTTTGAATTAAAAATTCCACATACTACACCATTATTATATTTTAGTTTTACAATATTTGAGAAACTTAACAGTTACAACGTATATAGGTTACATATTCGATAGATTAATAGAACTTCAAACAAATTAAATTTTACAAATAAGTCCTTACAAATCTAATGTCATCATTGAGTCTTATATTCTCATGGTTGCTCTAAGATGTAGATTCTTCTCATGGTTACACTTACCATTGCTGCATGCATATGTGAAACTTTGAAATAAACCTTGTATATGATCCAATGATGAAGTGATGTATTTGTTAAACTCATTCTCACATTCATTCACAAACTCATTTTGGGCACTTTGAGCATTTTATGCAGGAGACTGCCAAGGTCTTCAATGTCAAATGATCTGCCAATGAAAGCTTGAAAACGACATCAAAAGACATCACTTGACATTGATATCAAAAGACATCACTTGACTTATAAACCTAATAAAACTTTATAAAAATTTCAGATTTAAAAAGGAGCATTTTTGAAAATGGACATCTAAAAGGGGCATTTTTGAAAAGAGGTACACCAAAAGGGGTATTTTTAACAATTTCCCAAAAATCAATGGTAGAAAAAAATCTTGAATTATAAGACTTCTATTTACATTTTCATAAGCTGAATTCGAAATAGCTATGTAGCAAATTATGCAGATTTAAAGCAAACTTCAGACCTAAAGCAAGAAGTTCAATGCAAAACCACCACTTGACAAAGGTTTAAATGAAGAAAAAAGAAACTCATGTTAACTATACATTTGTTTAAAGGATAGTATATACCAAACGCTGGTTGTTAGTCACTCAAATCTAAAGATTGGAAAATGTTTTACGTTTGTGATTAAATTTAGCAACAAGTCAGTTATCCAAATTGAGATAAATAGAGCATGTATAAAATCTTTCTTATGGCGTAGAATTGAAAAAACACCAAAGTACACAATATGGAACAAGAAGAAATTAATGTCCCATAGAAACATTTTATTCAACAGTTACAAATCAAAAACCACACCAAAGTCCAGATCCATTAACATAGAAGCATTAACACATGAATGTACAGAGACACACACACGAACGTATATATACATATATGCAAGACAATTGATCTTGCAGAGTTTGCTGCTCATGGTTCAAAAGACATTGAGCGAAGTTGCGTAGAGTGGATTGCAAGGCTTGAACGAGAAACAGTTTGGTGTATATGTTGAAAACCTCTTTCTCTTCAGTGAATCTGCATATCCAAGAGCGGGCTGGTTCAAGTATGCGTATTTGCTCTTTGTCCACCTGAATCCAAGATACACATCGAAATTCAAAGTTAAATCGCGAAACAGCCGAGACAAAAACCAGGTGGTTCTTGTTTTAGGCTCATTGAATGGTTCAAGATATATGTAAAGATGAAAGATTATATTGATGAGAATTAAAAACAGACCAGTCTTTCAATCCCTGATGATCTTCAGTTTTCAGGTCCTCCATGTCCAAGCTTTCTTCAAAGCGTTTGTAATCCTCATCCTGCAATAGACATCAGAACCATCTTGATCTCGATTGAGTTGAAAGCACGAGATCAAGAAATATCGATTTTCCTCTTCAACGATCTAAACAACCACACAGGAATTGTTAAAAGCAAAAGGACATACAGAGAGATTACGAGCTCTGACACGAGCTGCAGCCTTAATAGCAGAATATAGATGATCCTCTTCAATAATCTGCTTTTGTCTCCAGAACTTCTTGATCTGTTTATTGGTTATGCTGTCTCCATGGATCTTTCTAAATCCATATCCCGGAGATGGAGGAAGCGGTGGAGGAGGAGGCGGCATCAATGACTTCTCAGACTCATCCATAATCTGTTTCTTCATATTCATACCACAACTTCACCAGCTAAATCACTTGGAACTTTATATACAACACAACGATCACACCAAAATGAATCTACAGAGATTCTGAATCTAACCTTCAAACTAAAGAGATACACCTAAGATTCTTAAGAGCCTACCAAAGAAGTATCCAACGTCTACGTCTACCCTTCAAATTATCTTGTACGTTAAGACAAACTATACAAGGAAAGACAAGTAGTTGATGTAACTTCTAATCTTTATCAACATCAACAATAATTTAAGCAATTAGGTAGTCTGTGGATAATACAAAATATATGGTCTTGAAACAACTAATATTACATCATTCACTCACAGCCGTTGAATCATAAATGGAGGTCACAATCAATATCACCAAAATGTCATTTTCATATGACGTCCTCCATTAAACTAACACTATTGGTTTTTGCTCTGTTCTTCACTTTCTCTTTAAGCCTATGGAACTTGTTTTTAACAAACGTTCCTCGTACAAAACTTCAACGACTGAATAATGAATTACTCCCACAAGTTAAACGAATCATCAAATAAAACAAACCGATGCTTATTGAACAAAATACGAAAAGATGCATCACCAAATCATCGAACGACGAACAATCATCCCCAAACCATGTGATTCAAATTCACAACAAACACAAACATTACATATATGATCAAAATCCAAGCCAACCACACATCTTAACTAAACTAGCTACTCGATCCGATTCACTATACCGGATTCTACAATAGACAAGAGATAAAACAGAGAATAGGATAGTAGATGTTTCTTCAAAAGCAAGTAACAAAAATCAGCTCAGAAGGCGGTTAAACCTCCTTGTTGCCATCGGTCTTGGCGCTTTTGGTGAAGCGAGCGCCAAGAACGATGGCAACACAAAGGTCTAACTGCCTTTATGACCTGATTTTTAAGCAACAAACATCTACAATCCTATTAACCCTTTTGACAAGTTTATACATATCTATGTAAAGCCTTAAACAACCCTTTTGCTTCAGCTAAGTCTGGGACGAGACTTGAACCGCCTTGGTTTTGAATCGATATCGAGGAGCACGAGGAATGACTTGACTCGGACCGAATCCGTATTGACCAATACCACCAGTGAGCGGAGGACCATCGTCGTAGATGTAGCCGATGAGGTGGTTGCAACTATTACACTTGATCTTGGTTCGTTTCCGTTGGATTCCCCAGTAATTTAGGGTTTCGAAGAAAGGCATGATCTTGTCTTCTTTTTCAAATCGGAATTTCTCGGCGTCGACGGCGGCGAATGAGAGCGTTCCTTTGTTACCGGCTTCGAAGTAGAAATCGGGAGGAAATAAATCGTTAGGGTTTAGATTCAGATCTGATCCGCATTCTTTGCAAGTGTAGATCGTTAAAGCCATTGTTTGTTGCTTCTCAATTCTGATTTCTTCTCACCTCCTCTCTCGGCTTTTTCTTCTTCTCTGGGACGAATTTTCTCCAGAGACGCGTTTTTTCTTTGGTCAGCGCCGTCGTAACTGACTCTGATCTCTGCCGTTGTTATATTGGGCTAATGGGCCTATTTGATAGTGGGCTTTATGTAATTTAATAAGCGTATTTACAAATAATGTGTTTTGTTGCTAAGATTTTAATTTGTAACCGTAATGGTGATAGATCAAACATTTTCTGAATTACGTTGACAGTAAACAGGAAAAAAAATTTGTTGCCTTACAATTTTCAAAAACTATTTTCAATATTTTAAAAATATTGGAAAAAGCATTTAATCAAAACATGCATAAACACAAAGAAGAACATAATTTTTTTTTTTGTTCTTTTGGATAAAGAAAAGTTTTTTGTTTGTGTGTGAATCTGATAGCTCTCTATAGAAATGATCTGTGAATCATTTACGTTGCATTTGATTAGGCCTTAGTTTTGGATTATAGAAATGGAATGCTAATTTAGTGCTACTCATATTTAGCTAGTTCATTCACCTTATACAAATGATGAGCCTTGTTTGATGTGTTGAAATAGGAGGTCTTGAGAGATTTTTACATATAACTGATGTTTAGATCTTGCAGAACCATACCACATAGTTCCAGCAACAACAAAAGTGTAAAATCAAAGGAAAGTCCAATGAGGAAAAAGTAAATGCAAATGCAACCTAATAACATAGGTCTGAAATTATATTGCTTCATTCAGCAATCAAAAGATGATCATCCTTAACACAGCTTGATCAGTGGCCCAAGCTTAAACAGCTTTTCCAAATGATCATGAACAACTCTTATCATATATTGCCCAACCCCAACATCTATACAACTTCAACTCTCAACTAATCTATATATACATTTTTGGAGTACATTTAGCAAATAAATCCTGAAGTTGAGAAGTATTTACGGATGAATGTCATTGCTTTAAATGTTAATACATTAATTGATTAATTAATTCTGTCTTAATCACATTGAAATTGTTTTTTGGAAAGATTTTTTAGATTCTCGAATTGTTAATTATTGTCAGTATTTTCAAAAATTATGATTGTAGTTATGATTGTAGAAAACAAAAATTGTCATGTGGCATACTGTTACTTAATGATAATTGTAAACTATATATAAAATATAAATGTCTTAAAATGATACCATTTGCAAACTTTTATAGAATATAAAATCGATATGATTTATATTATACTATCTATATATACCATTTGCACAAATTTTAGAAACCAAATCGTTCTGATTTTTTAAAAAATTTATAGCTCCGCGGTACACCGAGAGTGAAAATCTAGTTAGCGGACATTACCAACAACTTTTAGTGAAGGGTTTTATGGTATTGCTAGCTTTTTTTTTTTTTTTTTGTATGCTCACCAGTTGCATTCATTCATTTCCCTTTTTCATTTGGATAACTGTGCACCTGGTCAAGTATCAATTTTATTGCTTGATCGTACTCCTTTTATTTTCTTTGGTGAACTTGAATGGTCTCCATTGCATGTTGGTTTATGTACTTTGAATACTCTGTTTTCTACGGTCGCGGAGAAAGCGTCCAAGAACTCCTACCCCAGGGCACTATCTTGAGTTGACATGAAAAGCGCTGGGATAATGGTAAAAGCCGGAACTTTTGAAGCTGAGGTTACAATTATGAAACTATAGGCGTGATGATTATGGACACCTTAGGTCACCAAGACGGTCACCTGTAAGTATTCACCTCCACCTCGTAGAGAAAGGTCAAGGAGAGATCGGTCTTAACTCTCCTTATGGAAGTGCAGACAGGAGGAGACACAATCGTGATTCAAGGTGAGCTATATAATTTTTTTGGTCTTGGCAAAAGTATGTTAGGGTTTTGTAATTGAGCATCCAAAGAACTAAGCCAAAATAAAATTAAAAATGTGCTCTATCTTTCTCTCTCGGACGTCTTGCTTGTTATGTCTCCTTATGGACGTACGTTTTTGAGTTTGTTTCTTTCAACTTATAGTTAATCTAAGGTAAGCTCATATATAATACATATTTATATATCACACATGTGGATTATTTGTTTATGTATGTCAATGTAAGCATATTCTTCTGAGGATGTCCTCAAATCTCATTTTTCTTCTTCTTCTTCCTATCTTGATTACTTATTTAATCACAATTAGTAGTAAGGCAAACAATTCTTATCCAATAATTTGTGATCCAGTCACTGTTTTGAATTTGTCATTAATGATGTCGGGTACCATCGACAATCTAATTCGTTAACTGTGTTATTAGTATTATAAAATTACAACAAGCAGTCATTGTCGATATTAATATGCTCAAGGACCACTAAATTTCTACAAGTGGGGTAATTAACGACGTATTGAATTCAAAAACAGTACTCTGTCTGTTCTTTTATAAGTGATGTTTTAGAAAAATGCACATAGATTAAGAAATCATTTGATTTTTGTTTATTTTTAAACAAAAATATCATTTATTATCTAATCAACCAATAAAAAAAACAATCTACAGAATATATATCGCCAAAACCAATAAAAAAGTAATTAATTTTACATTGAAAATTGAAAACATCATCTATTTAAAAAAAAATAATAGAAACTTAAAACATCACTTATAAAAGAATGAAAGGAGTATAGTTAACATAAAATAGTAAAATTATCATTTATAGAATCTTCTAACTAAACTGGTACGCAAATGTTTTATTTATTTATTTCTAATTAAAGTAACACCACTACGAATATAAAAATTGTATATCTATTTGTAGATGAAAACCATATCAATATTGACCGGGATAGATAACGTGTTTATGTTAGTTTTGTAGTTGTGTACTACTATCTAAATTCAAATTCGCATATATATTGTAATGTAGTGTTTTGTGGTAATTAACTCGAACTCTTTGTTTGCAAGGATCTTCTCTCGTTCTTCACATGCAGGTTTGCATGAGCCAAATAGAAAAGGAAGATATTTCCTTCCATAAGAATGTCATTTGGTCGACCATCCTCCTATGGAGTACATTATTGTCTACGAGCAATACACCCTCAAAATAGTTTTAAAGTGGTAGAAAATAGCGATACAAAAAATAATTGAAAACACCCTTGTTAACTTGATACTACTTATATGATTAGTGATTATTAAAACATTAAACTCTATATATACTGCATTGATACGATGCTACTTACTAATCAAAACCTCTTTTCTTCCATATTTCCTCGACTAGTATAATGGGAATTATCTTTTCAAAGTTCCTCATCTTTGTCTTCCACTAGTTATGTTTTAATAATTGTTATTGCTTGATTCTTAATTGCTTAAATAGAAAATGTCACACAGACACAGCAATTTCCCTAATAATTTAGACTCCCATTAACACCATTGGTTTAAGTCAAGATTATGTTACACCAATAAAATATTCATCGCTTCCAAAAGAATATGTTAATTTGACCTAACCTAACGAATGATAATTCCACAACTTTTTTTCTTTTAATATTAATTCAACAACGACTATCAAAATTTTTGAGCTCCAAGTAGCTGGGATGATTGATACTATTCGACAAAAAGTATTTGTAGTTGACATATTGAACCGTAAAATTTAAATAGTAAAATAAATTAAATTTAATCTCAACCACTTCTTAATAAAAATCTAACAAATTTAATTAGTCTATCTTTCTCCCTTAATTGAACCTTTCCATATATGAATTTAATTATCATAAAATCACATCATTAGAGTAAATGATAAATCTACAAATATCAATTGTTTATGGTTATGTAATCTAAAATAAAACATACAAAATGATGACGTGGCTATTCCCTACGTGTAACACCACACACAGTAACGTTCCTCTCCTCACTCTAAGCCCAAAAAATCTCTCTCAAACTTCTCTTTAATCCTTTTTTTTTTTTTTCTCGCGTCTATAAGAATCCCTCAAGATCTCTCTCTCATAATTTGGAATCTTGGAGATCATTCGTCTTTTTTTTTTTCCGGATTTTGAGAGGTTTCACTTCTTTTTTTTTCCGATCCACCGCCGTGGATTTTGTTTTCCGATGACGATCAAAGACGAGTCGGAGAGTTGCGGTAGTAGAGCCGTCGTTGCTTCGCCGGCTCAAGAAAACCCTAGACATTACCGGATGAAACTTGATGTCTACAGTGAGGTTTTACAACGACTTCAAGAATCTAATTACGAAGAAGCTACTCTTCCTGATTTCGAGGATCAACTTTGGCTCCATTTCAATCGTCTTCCTGCTCGGTACATTGATTAGGGTTTTTCTTACTATCTTTGGATTTGATCAAATTGGATTTTGAGGATAAGGGTTTTGCTTTCGAGCGTCGTAGTATCTTGAAATTTCGTTACTTTAGATTATTCAGTTCTGTGTATATGTTCATCGACAGTGACTGATCTCTTTCTCTCTATGAGACAAAAAAAAAACTGAATCTTTTGCGTTTCTCAACACGTGTCTTGATCCAAAATTGAATCAAGTTTCTTGGTTGATTTCTAAGTTTTGCATTTGGCATTGTTCTTGCATGTTGTTTCAGATATGCTCTTGATGTTAAAGTTGAGAGAGCGGAAGATGTTCTTACTCATCAGAGATTACTAAAATTGGCGGAAGATCCTGCAACTAGGCCTGTCTTTGAAGTTCGTAGTGTACAGGTAATCAAACCTTGAGCCAATATTGAAAGCTTTATAAGAAACTTTTTTGTTTTGTTGTGTTAATTGGTTTCTTCTTACAGGTTTCTCCTAGAAGCTCTGCTGACTCTGACCCTGCGGTGGAGGAAGATGCTCAAAGCTCTCACCAACCAAGCGGACAGGGGTATGGAGTTTTATTAAATTGAGATCGATCTTGAACACTTTTCAGCGTTGTTGTAATTTCTTTTTAATCATGCCCTTTCTTTCTGTCAAAAGGGTTCTTGCTCCTCCAACTTTTGGTTCTTCTCCAAATTTTGAGGCTATTACTCAGGGAAGTAAAATTGTTGAAGATGTTGATAGTGTTGTGAATGCAACATTGTCTACTCGGTGAGACTTCTTGTTTTGTTGTTCATTGTGTTTTTGTATTGATTCATATTTTCTCTCATGTCTTAAGTATAATTCTATGTGCACTGATGTTATGCTTTGTTGTTTCCTGCAGACCAATGCACGAGATCACATTTTCAACCATCGATAAACCGAAACTCCTTAGCCAGGTGTGATTCTTACTCTAACATCACTGTTTGCTGCATAAACATTGCGTCATTACACACTGTCATGTAGAGGATGGATGGTTATTTCTTCCATATCTGTGATTAGTTGAGTGAGAAAACTGTTTTCTGTTTCAGCTAACTTCCCTGCTTGGTGAGCTTGGACTGAATATACAAGAGGCTCATGCTTTTTCCACTGTAGATGGTTTCTCTCTAGATGTCTTTGTAGTTGATGGTTGGTCTCAGGAGGTATGGTGGTTTTCGCTTTTCGAGAATGGCTTAACTAGATTTTGAATGACTTAACGAGATCTTGAATACCTTTCTGTCTGCTATCACTAACTGAGAAACTTATGCACTTTGGAATTACAGGAAACAGATGGTCTAAAGGATGCATTGAGCAAAGAGATATTGAAGCTTAAGGTATTTTCTGACTATGAATTTGGAGGATGCAATGATTCACGAGAAAATGATATAGGTCTTGTTGCTTTTTTTACTTCAAAAATTTGACAGTTGTCCTGTCTCTATATTTTCCGTTGGCTGTTCTACAGGATCAACCTGGTGCAAAACAGAAATCTATTTCTTTCTTTGAGCATGACAAATCAAGCAATGAGCTTATACCCGCCTGCATTGAAATACCCACGGATGGAACTGATGAGTGGGAAATTGACGTGACACAGCTCAAAATTGAAAAGAAAGTGGCATCTGGTTCATATGGGGATCTGTGAGTATTATTGTTATGTAAGCTTGTTTTGAAAACTGTAAGTTCTTATTGAGAAGTTAGAGTAATTTGTTTTTGATGGCTATGCAGGCATAGAGGCACTTATTGCAGTCAGGAAGTAGCTATCAAATTTCTCAAGCCTGAGCGTGTAAACAATGAGATGCTTAGAGAATTTTCTCAAGAAGTTTTTATAATGAGGTCGGTGTAATTAATTCTCAGCGTCATGTGGATATTCCCACAGTAGTTCATAGTTTTATATACAGAAACATGCCTGACTGACAATTATATTCAGGAGCAGGCTTGAACTTTTTCAGTCCTTGTCCTACGTTAAACCTCTTTTGATGTATTAAGTAACCAACATGCATTCTTCATTGTCATTTGTTACTGATGCTTTCACTGTCTGTAGGAAAGTTCGACACAAAAATGTCGTTCAATTTTTGGGTGCATGCACAAGATCTCCAACCCTCTGTATAGTGACTGGTAAGTTCTTAGTAGATGTAAATTTGAGTTGTTATCACAAAAACATGTAATATGAGTTGACTGGTTTTATGTTTGTGTCAGAGTTTATGGCTCGAGGGAGCATATATGATTTTCTTCACAAACAGAAATGCGCTTTCAAACTTCAAACTTTGCTTAAAGTTGCACTTGATGTGGCAAAAGGAATGAGCTATTTGCATCAAAACAACATTATTCACAGGGACCTTAAGACTGCAAATCTTCTTATGGATGAACATGGAGTAAGACTTGTTCTCTGGCTATGCATAGTGTAATCCTTAATAAACCATTGAAATTAAATTCTGCAAACATTTCTTTATCCTTTACCTCTATGAACCTCTTTTATTTCTACTAGAATCACCAGACTCTAGGGTTCTAACCTTGGGATAATTTTGAGCAGCTTGTCAAGGTTGCTGATTTCGGAGTTGCCAGAGTGCAGATTGAATCAGGAGTCATGACAGCTGAAACAGGGACTTACCGGTGGATGGCTCCAGAGGTATGTATGAGTTTTATACCTCAAATATATTGATTGATCTGGCTTTGTGTAATAATAAGCTTTTGGAGTCCTCTGTTTGATCTGGGTCTCTTACTTTGACAATAAACTTGCGAAAACCCAGGTCATTGAGCACAAACCTTACAATCACAAGGCAGATGTGTTCAGTTATGCGATAGTGCTATGGGAACTTCTGACTGGTGACGTAAGAATCTATCTGCTTACAATTCTCTGACTGAATCTTTCATGCTAATTAGAGAGATACTGATGTATCATGCATTTGTAAATGGAAACAGATCCCATATGCTTTCTTGACTCCACTACAAGCAGCTGTTGGCGTTGTCCAAAAGGTAATGCTGCTTCTTACTGTCTCATTCAGGTTTTTGTCTTGCTAGAGAACCAGAGGCTAAATTGAATTTGGTTTTCAGGGGCTTCGACCGAAAATTCCAAAGAAAACCCACCCAAAAGTGAAAGGACTTCTAGAGAGATGCTGGCATCAAGACCCGGCACAGAGACCACTGTTTGAGGAAATCATAGAAATGCTACAACAGATAATGAAAGAGGTAAACGTCGTAGTGTGATCTCCCGAGTACAAAAAACACCTTACAAGGAGAGATTCTCAGAGCAGGATGTGGTGAAAACAAAGCAGGTTGGAGATGCGGACCCTAGCAAGGACAAGCAGTGCATGTCTTTATTTGCTCCCTTCAGAAAGCCACGTTACTAGTTCTTCTTCTGATCATCACTTTTAACGATTCAAGGCATTATTTTTTTGCCTTGCCTTGTACAGTTTCTCTTTTTTTCTTTCTTTTTGACCTTAGAGAGTGTTTTCTCCTCTTTGATTCCTTTCCACAATAGAAATTAGTAACTCCTAATACTTTTTGCTTCTTCTTTTTTTCTTTCATAAGAAGGGAAGTTTAACAGAGTTGCATATTCGTTAGGCTTAAATCATTTTCACTGTGTATAGTTATTTAATGTGTTGTGTTTCTCATTTGTTTTCGGATCATTTTCACTTTGGGACTGTGTGTCGTTTTAGACATTTAGTAACAAACACCGTGCCGTTGGCTATGCAAAGAAACGACATGATGATTAGGATAATAAATCTCTGGAGCTCCACTAACCGAATGAATTGGGATTAAACGCCTCTGGTTTGTGAAGCTTTTGCAGGTTTTTCTCTCTACACCTCTGATCATCTCCCAAATTCGAATGTAGAAATAGCTCAAAGTTTCGATTTTTAATTTTATTTTAGTGGGTCTGCTTCAATTGCTGTGGAAGAGATGGTGTTCTTGAGTTGGGGTCGTCCATCTTCTGAGCAACAGCAACAAGTAATCAACAAGTAAGAAGAATCAAAATCGTTACTTAGAAAGAAAAACGAAATCTTTTGAGTACTGGAAAGCTCTCTCTGAGTTTATGCTTTTTATAATCCACAGAACAGGAGCCTTCAATTATGACAACAAGTACAGAGGAGTTTCGTCTAGGTCTATAGCTAAACTTAAGGAAGATTCAGAAGTTGAAAAAGATGGATTCTTGATCAATCATGCTAGGGTTTTAGTCGGTTCAGGTAGAGAGAGTTTCGAGAAGGGCAAAAAAGCTCTACAGAATTGGAAGTATGTGTAGCTCTTTATTCATCTCAAGAACACCAATCGGTTCTGTTCTTATTTATTTCTATCTGAAAAATTTGCAGGCATTTTGGTATGGATTGGGCATTTGTTGATCCTGCAACTCCTGTTGAAACCGGTAAGAAGTTTTGCATTTGTGTGAAAGAAGTTCTTCCATGGGTGATACTTCCTCTACAAGTGGTTTATGTTGACGAAAGCCGGAAATCAAGAAAAGGCCCTGCGCATTTCGGTTACGGAAGCGGTACTCTTCAGGGTCATTTACTCGCTGGAGAAGAACGGTTTTCGATAGAGCTTGATGGAAATGGTGAAGTATGGTATGAGATAACATCTTTCTCAAAGCCAGCTCATTTCTTGTCGTTCCTCGGATATCCTTATGTGAAGCTAAGGCAGAAGCACTTTGCTCGCCATTCTTCTGAAGCAGTGCTAAAACATCTCAAGGCTTCGTGATGATATCAAAAATGAAGATATTTCGTTAAACAAGTTGCATCTTCTGTTCAATACACTTTGTCTATACCAAAAATGAAGATGAAAGGTAAGGTTTTTATTCAGATGGTTGGTACTCTTAATACATAAAAATTAGCTTTGACCTAAACAAGATTTAGAGAAAGCTAGGAACAAACATTTGGAAACAACTCTTCTCAGATTTTGACATTGTTGTGATACTACCATCATCTAGCTTGAACACCTTAATCTCGTCTTTTTCCTTGTCGGTGAAGTAAATAGAATTTGGCAGGCATCCATAGAACTCATGAGCCAAAACCGAGAAACAAGTATCGGTAGCCATCATAACCGCATTATCTCCCAAGGACTTAACTTCTACCCATTTCACCAATTCATCATCCATCTTGTAAACCTTGAAACCTATCGTTTTGGGACGGTCACGTTCAAACACTTCACAACTTACATTCCCAACATCGTCGTGTAACACTGCGAAACGGTAACGAACGGGATCAGCATCCATGAAACCAGCATTGCCATTATTATCCCATAAATTAGCATTAGCGTCCACGAAACCAGCATTGGCATTACCATCCACGATATGAGGATTGGGAAAATTATTCCAGATATGAACAATGGCATTACCATTCAAGGAATCAGCTTTTCTCTTTAGGAGATTCTCGTCAATGAGACGATCTACAATGTAAAGCACTCCACGACATCTTACAAACCTTTTTTCCCCGGAAGATCTGTTAGTGATGTTTTTATATATTGAAGGTCCGAACCTGGAGATGTCGTAAGAGGAACTAATCCACCAAACACTCCCTTTTGTATCCAAGGCGTAAGTAAGACCTCTTTCAAGTTCAATGTCAGAGAATTGATCTACTTGTCCTTCGACTCTCATCCAACTTTCGTCTTTCCAGTACCTGATCACCCCGTCGATGCCGATCACTAGAACACGATGATCTCCTCCTGGGACTCTGACAAGAAACACTCTTTGGAATCCGCGAGCTGTTTTTCTCAGTTTGCCCTCTAGAACCGCATAAGCTTCTTGAATCTCGGAGAATATGAATTCTGACAGATCAATGCGCTTGCACGAAAGATCAATGCGCTTGCACGAATGTCGTAGTGCGAGGCGCGAGAGAGAGTTGAGGAGATGGAATTTCCCGGAGTTGAGATCCTTGTCTGATTTGATCAACCACCCTTGGTCCCGAGAGGAGGAGAGAGTGACGCGAAAGAATGCGGCCCGCGAGAGGAACGGGCCATAGCGGAGGCCCAAACTTTGTTCGTTTGCTTGGATTGAAGAGACCATGCATTGGAGGGGCTTGAACTTGATGAGAGGGCAGCTCAGGAAAAGGTTCTTGTTAGTGCCGGAAACAGAGGCGCGCCACGATTTGCAGATGCTACGGAAGCGTTTGAATTCGACCATGGAGAACAATCGAGCAGCGATTACGCCAAGAAGCTCCTCCGGTAACTTAGACCAATCACTCATTTCTCTCCCCTGTTTTGCTACTATGGTTGTTTTAACGCTCCAAATAGTTGTGCTTTGCCTTTTAAAGAATAAAAATATGAATAGTGCATTTTTAGTCTATAGGGAAACAAAATTCACTCATTTCCTTATAAAAAATGAAAATGAAAAATTTAAAAGCTGTTGACAAAAAAAATATAAATGAAAATGAATAAATGGTCGGAACCTTTCGTCCAAAAAAAAGTCGGATCCACTAGCTCAAGTCAAGAAAATTACCTGTGCAGATCTTTGAGCACGAGAGTTCAACTTTACTTCCTTTCAAACCTTAAAGAGTTGAGAAAAAGCTCAATGAATTTGCTGACCAAAAAAAAAAAACAATGAAAATTAATAAATTGAAAGGTGAGATCTAGTTGAATATCAATTGAAAACAAAAGTTTTTTTTGGTGAAATGTTAATTATGATTTAAAAATTAATTAACTAACAAAGAGAAATTTCTTTTATGCTAAATTTACATTTATATTGGTAGATTTTGGTCGGAGGATATGTCGGCACCGCAGTTTATGACGTTGAAAGAAAAGAATTGGGGTTTGACGGTGTTTGGGTAAATCTTAATTGTTTCAGATCGATCGAGACAGTTTTACAGATTGATAAGAAAAAATATTTTGTGTTGATTAGGTTCTAATGGTGTTTGGGTTGCCGAATCTTAGAGATCTCTTGAAATGTTGGAACTCTTCGAAGCGGCGTGAGTCTCTAGGGATTTTTTTTGTTTGCTCCTTCTGCTTTAAACCTTCTTATTTATAGGTACACGTCAAACTTTACTATGTTTTTGTTAGGGCTGACGTGTATTGTGAAATCTTATCTTTATGAAATCTTATCTTTATAACTGACGTGGCATTAACCAAATAATTCATCATATATCTTGAATGTTTTCGTACGATGATTTTCATGTCGTTTCGCAAACAAATTTATTGAATCCTTAAAAAATGTGGTGTATTGGAGATTTCAAATTTGGAAGACTTTTTAGATCTCGTATTTGGGGAGATTTTGAAGGATATCTAATGATTTTGATGGCCTTTTAAAAAAATTCTTTTGGTTTAGCAAAAAAATATTTTAAAAAAAATCCACAACTTTCAGATTTTGTTTTTCATTCTTCTAACTTTTGGTCTAAACCGAACTTTTGAACTAAACCGAACTTTGCAAATGTACTAAAATTGATAAAATGAGCCAATTTAGGGGTCTAAAACAAACTTAGGTTTTCAATTCGGAATTTTTTTACCCAAACCGAACAAACAGATTGTCAATTAAACTATAATTCGTTGCAATTCAAAATTCTTTTACCCAAAAATCGAACAATCTGAACAAAATTCTTGACATATTTAACTGATTGCCCAGTCTTAACTACATTACTTTGGTAAAAAGATGGAGTGATGTTAAAATAGGCTAAGAGCCCGAAAGCTTCTTTCATCTCTTAAACCCTTAGCTTGCTTTCCCGACTCTCATCCATTTCCTTTAAGAATAATCTGCCTCCGATTAAGATTCTTCTTCCTCCTTTAGTCCCATATTTTTCTCGACAAATCCGTCCATCTCCTTTACTTGCCTTGGTATGATTCTCTTCACTCTTCTCTCGGACTTCACTATCTCAAATCCATAATCCCATCACAACTCCACCTTACTCCGTTTATAAACTTCTTCTCGTTACTCTTCCAATGATCCAAGAGTTGAAGAATAGAAGTTGATAAAGAAGGTGTGATGAGCTGAAGCAACGACGAGGATAATTTGTTGCAAGAAATAAGAATAGGCACGAAAGTAGATCGTAGCGGAAATGTGGGTAATCGAGCGAGATGTAATGGGGAGCTGAGGAAATGGTTACGGTTCAAAGGAGAATCCAAGATTTAAGAGAAATTCGTCGTTGAGATGTTGTTGGGCGAGCACGAAATCAAATCATGAAGGTCCAGGACTTGAGGGGAAAGTTGTTGCAAAGTGTGACCAGTTTAAGAAACATTAAGGTGAAGCCTTTGGAAGGAGAGGTACTAAAGGGATGAGGAAGTGGATGAAGATAAGTTTGAGTATCGGATGGAGTAAAAAGTTTTATGAGATGGAATTATCGAAAACGTGGGGGACCGCAACCAAGATTTTAAAGTGTTGAAGGACTTTGGCCGAGCTCAGTAACGTGAGCTTGTAACTCGAGTGAGGGCAAGTGGAGGAGTGAGTGAGTTGTTGGAGAAGAAGAATCTTTAAGGAGTGGTGATCAAGAGTGTTGGAAAAGGAATAAACCAAAGTTGGTGAAGGAGCAAGAAGTGGTAAAAGGCGAAGCGCCAAAGTGTAAGGATTAATATCAGGAGATGAGAATCGAAGTTGGATACTTATTGTACAAAAGTTATATGATATAAAAGGAGTAATTTTCTTATAAAGTGGGTGTTTCACCCGATATTAGTCTTGTCCGGACTAACACAACTCGCGATCACGGTAAGGGTTGAAAAGCCTAAACCGCAGTCGGGAGGGACGGTTCGCGCGGATGGTCTGGCTAAGGGTCTGAATTCGTTTGGAACCTCTGCTGGAACGTCTGTGTGAGCTGTCTATGTGACGTCTTCGGGTCGCCCGTGGCTTGTCCGGCCATAGAGCGGTTCGGGGGCGTTACAACGGGTTCAATGTAAGAATTTAGGTTGTAACCTATTTATTGACACTATAAATCAAAAAGTGCCTAAACGGGTTGGCCCTTTTAATTTTGTGGGCTTAGCAGATTTCTTTTAAGTCAAATTGGTTGTCCATAAAAATTATTTCACATTGGAAAGATGGAAAAAACTTAGAATAATATATAAGAGATTTTTTCATACGACTACTCGAGATTTTAAACCTAAATTCTATGCTAAGCAGAGCCCACCATTAATACAAAACTTAATCACTAGACCCGGGTCAAGTAATTTTATGAACATACCTCTCATTGCTTCCAAATGGACAAACAAAAGACAAAGATTAGATAATGAGTTTATTGTCGATACTCGTGAAAATATAGCGGGTTATTTATGGAGTTGTGGAAAGAATTGGTAGAGCATGAAATCAGAGATTCAAATGTGACATCAATTACCAAGTGATACAAAAACGTGTACACGCAAAATTGTGTGTGTTTTTTTTAATAAATGAATATATATTTTTATAAAATGAAATTAACTAGTGTTTACAAAATCTTATGTTTGTATAATGTACCCTTCGGCAAATCCTCTAAAACTGAATGCCCACGAAGATGACAATATTACATATACACCTATTGAGAGATTATGTTGAGAAGCAAGGCTCGTGTTCTAATCATCCCTCGAAATAATTCTTCTAGACTCTTCTCGAACCTTCGAATCCATACCTCAACTTCCTCAAGCTTCACATGAAGATCATCATAAGAGATAGAATCTCCACAAATCGCTGAATCTACATTCTCCAACTCATTTTTGACCATCTTATCGTGATCATGAAACTTCTTGTTCATGAGGACCAAAGCCAATTTGCTCCTTATGTCATTCCCGTTTTGTCGTCCCGACAAGAACTCCAAGAACGACTTCAAGACCGAAACTGTCATTGAAACGACACGTCTCATTGCATGAATCACGGCCAATAAATGAATATCACCGTCTTGATCATAACCATGATCTTTCATTACTAACCCTACATTAATGTTCTTTAACGATCCAAGAAGCTTCTTCACTTCTTTCCTCATATTCTTCCTAAATCCGACATAGCCCGAGACATCGAAATCTTTCCTTCTCCTAACACAAGACTGAAGACCAAGAACATGCTCATGAGTCTCAACCATGAGATCCCTCGAGACGTTGCATATATCCATTAGCCTCAACGAACCATCAAGCATTTCCTCCATAAACTCTCCCTTCATCATCTTCTTCTTCTTCTTCTTCTTCTCATCATTAAACGACAACACTCTTTGCGTCGAACCCATCTTAAGAAGATCTTCGGTACAGTCGTACAGATCCTCCAGCCCCGATAAACCGGAGTAAACGGACTTAGACGACGTCATTGTCGACGTGTTCATAGTGATAATAAATTTTTCCAGCGACTCCTCAATCGCTGCGGTGCTAGGATGAGATCTTGATGGTAAGCTAATAGATCTTACATGGTTCTTGATCATCTTCATCGCCATATTGGTTTGAGCTTTGTTGTTTCTCTATACTGATAATTATTCAACGAGCTCTATTTATAGTATCATAAAAGTTTGTAACATCAACCAACAAAACTTCAACAATAATAAAATATAAATTATTTTAATTTTGTCCGATTGTTATGGGCAAAATGTGTGATTATGAGTTGTCATGATATTTTATAAATTCGATTGTCAAATTATGCGTAATAGTTTGGCCACATAGTTGATGAGTCATCGACTGTTATGCTTCCGGTTTCGCCACATAATTAATGCATAGTCGATTACTCCAAATAAAATATAAAAATAATATCAACGGTCTATAAATTGTCTGGGTAGGTAAAGAAATGCAGATCTTTCTCAACCATAATATGCCCCGACCTATCATACCTTTATTGTCTGATTAGCCTCAACATCGTGGGTTATGACACGTGGAAAAGAGTCGAATCTTTCGTTGATGTGTATCGGCATTTTATTGGTTACTACTACTGCAACGTGTAGTTTATTTGACATTTGATTTTTTATGTATTGGGTCTGGCAGAAGTTCCAGTCACTAACAATTGAAAGTTGAAAATTTAGAAATCATTAAATAATGTTGTTATTAGTAAAATAAAATTTACATTATGAATACTAATGCAGAATGATTGTCAAATGTAGAAAAGTTACGGAATCAAAATTTTCAATGTAAAAGTTTATGGAATCAAAACCATTTTTTTTCCTTTAAAATTGTAGTAGTTTGTAATAGTATAATTTCGTAGCTACAAAGGGGATGTGCTTCAAGAAAAATAAATAAATTAAAGGGAAAACCCAACCTCACATATATCCAAAGTATATCTTTAAGTTCCATATTCGTTGCACTGATCGTTTGATCCTCTATCTTTAGAGGCAATCTCGAAGTCCAACATAAAAGCTTTTAGGTGATATCTTTTGTAATAGAGATGCTCCGGAGATATTAATGACATGCTTTGCAAGTTTCTAAGATTTGAACTAGACCATAGCTGAACGTTTAAACCTTTTTTTTAAGGTTTAATTTTCATAATGTATATGATTCTCTATCCATGTTAATATGTTATCCCCTCCGGTAATATTTTGATAATTCTTTATTTTTTCAACATACTAAACATTATTTATAGTGTTCTTAAGCTTTGATTCTCCCGATGCAAACATAATAAGGAAACAAACATATTCTCATCAAACACATTTAAAATCAAAGTCTCTCTAGTATCAAGGTCTTCTCATTGGCCTTAGCAAAAACTCATATATCATCAAATAGCCGCATCTCTTTCCATAGCTTTCACTATATTGCCGACTCTTTTTTGACTCCATAGCCTATATTTTCATAAGTCATGACTGATTTTTTTTTTTTTTTTTTTTTGCATTTCGTATAAGATAGACAGTTGCATGAGACAGTTTCTTTGAATCTGTATTCGCATGCACTTTGTTGATCACCCTTTCAATCTCAGCATCCATTCCGCTGACCATGCGACCTTACTCCTTTTCAATTTCTCAACTGTATAGATGGAAGATTACCGGCAGGAGCAGAGATGGCAGTACCAGAGATGATATTAGATATCCTCTCTCATAGATTGTATAGATCCAAGTATAAGGAGGCTAAGATTTTATTTGTGGTTATAGAATTAGATTAAATACTTGATAATTTCGTCAAGACTCAAACGAGGGCTCGAGAATTAATGTGTATTTGAATAATAGGAGTTTTTCTATCATAAAAATTTATTTGTATAAGAGTATCTTACGTGTGTACATCCTGTACATATATTTGAAGCTACACATGATGTACTATTAATGATTTTAGTATATTCAAGTCTGTTTTTTGTGCCATTGTTAAAAATTTTGGTGTGGACCAAACTCAGAATTATTTTGTCTCCAAGCCTTTTTGTAAAGAGAATAATAAAATCCAAAATTTTATATCCAACCCCTTTGAGTATCTCTTACAATAACATTAACTAATCTAACCAAAATCATCCTAATTAAAGCGACATTAGAAAATCAAAGGTTTTAAAACAAAATAATATTCAAAATTTTCTTCTTAGTTACTTTGTAACTAATTAAGTGAAAAAATTAAGACACATAGATTATGCAGTTTGTACAATTAAGACACATATTAAGTGAAAAAATTAAGACACATCAATTAAGATATGTCTTAGTGATATTGTTGCTCATCTATTCATCTACTATTTTTTTTTTCAGCTTTGTCCCGTACCTCTAACTTTTAATAAAGTCGTTAAACCTTCTTGAAAAAAGATAAAATAAATAGAGCGATTCACAATTCACAAAATGTTATAAAGTAGAAATACACATCTACATAAAAAATTATCAGAAAATATGATACATTGTGCTACTGCAATGTATTTAAGGTCACTTGTCACAAGATTTTGGTCGACATACGCAGATACGCATTTACTTTATAGATGTCAAAACATCCCTAAGACCACAAGCAGTGGTACACTCTTTACCCGAGTGTGAGTAATTTTAAAACAAAAAATATTGCAAAAGTTGGAAAAGTTACACAGTTCGAGTGTGGGATAACACCCGAATGTGAGCTACGTGGGAGCATTTGGTTGGTAAGCTCTTCTTCTCTCTTCTTCACACTCCCTATCTCTCTCTATCTCTCTATCTCTCTCTCTTCTCTCTCTTTTTTATTATATTAATATAAATTTATTAACATTTATCACTACAAATACACCACTGCTGATGCCCTAAGTGTTAAAAATATTAGGGTTAAGAACGAACATTGATGATGGATGGGTGGGTGGTGTGTTTGATGTTTGACTTAAGAGTTAAGTTTAAATTTATATAACAATATAGATTGATAAAATTAAAAAATCTAACAAAAATAATATCAATCATATATTTTTCCGATGACATTTATTTTATATAGTTTCATTTTTTTGTTTAAATTACGTACACAAAAAAAAAAAAAACTATCTATACTAGTATAATCGCAGCACTTTTTGTGACGGGTGGGTAAAAAAGCTTTCGGTATATCGGATATCCGACCCATTTTAAAAATTTCTTCATAAAAAATTTGTTGGGTCGGGTTATATTTAACCCAACTCATACACCGGATATTCCATAATTAATAATTTAGATTTTTAGAAGATTTGATTAAGATTTATAATTATGATTCTCCTATCATCTTTGTTTGATTTGTTTTTAACTGTTTTGAATTATCATATAATACATAAAGTAAAAAAAAAATCAATTTTTTTTCTGCATATACTGTGATTCGAAATTTTAAAAACGGACATATATTATCCAATTGACGAAAATGTGTGTTCAACGTTCTACATCGATTAAAATATTTAGACAATGATTCAGAATCATATCATAAATAAGAACATTAATAAAATAAATGAGTTTTTTGGCGGGATGGGTTTGGCGGGACGGGTTTTTGAATCAACAATAATAAAAAAATTAAAATATCATTAATCCGCCGCTTCAATACGGATTTAATCCTTATTTTTTTTAATACAAATCACAGGACGGGTTAAGAAATTACGGAACGGGTTATATTTCGGAAATGATTTATATGGCGGACGAATTTGAATCAATATTTATATACCGCTTTAATACAGGTTAAATCCTCAGTTTATTAATAATTATCTCGTAGACTCGTGGTATACCGTTACTTAATAACAATTGTAAACTATAATATAAATAAATATGTTATAAGGAGATACAATTTACAAAATATTTTTATACTAACTTTAAAATTAAATCATTCCGCGGTGTACCGCGAGTTAAAATCTAGTTTATTATTTCTAGTTCTACTTTGCATATTTCTTTTTACACCTTTTTTATAAATATAACTATAATGGAAGAGAAACTGATGGTTATCACTTTTCACAAAGTCATCGTTCTTAAGTCTTAACCAATACTAATATTCTCTCAACCAATTGTAAAATCTGCTTTTTTATGGCATGTCTCCTTTTCGTTGACTTGTAAAAACGGGCTTCACCAATTGTCCACGTCCCCGGCATTACGTACACGTGTAAAACTTGACTTTTATTATTTGTTTTATGGGAAATTGTTAAAAATACATTTTTTTGTGTGACCCTTTTCAAAAATGCCCCTTTTAGATGTCCATTTTCAAAAATGCCTCTTTTTAAATCTGAAGTTTTTATAAAGTTTTATTAGGTTTATAAGGTACTTATGGATTGTAACTACTACTTGAAGACTCAATCCAAGTATTTATAAGGTTTTATAAGGTGTTTTTAAAGGTTTTATAAGTTATTTTAAAGGATTTTTAAGGTTTTACAAGATATTTTAAAGGTTTTTAAAGGTATTTAAAATGCATTTATAAGGTATTTATAAAGTATATATAAGATTTTAGATACATAGAAATGTAGTTTGTGTATGTTTTAATAATATTACATACATATTTGGGTAAATCTTATATTTTTAAGAGCATTTTTTATAAGGTTTTTTTAAAAAGGGTATTTTTAAAAAATGGCATTGAAAAAGTAGCATTTTTGCAAAAGCATCTTGTTTTATTTCTAGATCTCATTGGCAGTCACCAATTATTGCATGCTTCCAAAGAATTTTCAATCATGTTATGTACATTGCATATAGCATTGATCTCCAAAAACATTCTTTTCTAAGGTTATCATTTCCTGTGGTGCATGTCAGGTGTGTTCCATATAGTAGTTCCAAAAGTAAATTGGCTTTAACAAACTAAACGATTTTTAATAGAACAAATTTGGTTTTACATATGATAGTTTAGCTGCTATTGTTTTGTTGGTGGAGCCAAAAAAGAAGAAGCGATTATAAATATTATTTTAGGTATTACATAATTTATATGATGACTATAAATTGTTTTATAATTTAAGTAAGAGAAAATTAGCATTAGTACCACATTTTGTCCAAAAGTTATCACTTCTACCACATTTGAATTCCAATTATCATTCATACCACATTGTGTTTGTAAAATGACCATTTTACCTTCCAACTGGTGAGATAGGGAACTGCGGTTGATGTGACTTTCCGAAATTTTTACTGTCTTTTTTTCTCTCCTGGCGCATTGGTAACCGTTTTCGTCCCTCTGCCTGGTAAAACAAAGTTGTTCCCGAGTAAATCCAGATCTTCGTCTTCGGCTCTCTGGCAAAATAAAATAAAGATCAAGTTGTCCCCGAGTTAATCCAGATATCTGGCTGGTAAAACCACATCATCTAGCGATGGATAATTAAGAGATGTTGTCCCCGAGTAAATCCAGATCTCTGGCTGGTAAAACTATATCATCTGGCGATAGACAATCAAGAGATCCAGTTGTTCTCGATCCAGTTGTTCCCGAGTTTAACCCATATCATCTCCTTAAACGTTTTTATTAATTAATTACTTGCCTTGACCTACTAATTAATACTTTGCATTATATTTTAATATCTAATAATCATTGTCACCATTTAATTAAATAATGATTGTCTCCCAACATTTAACTATCTTTAATAAAACTAATCATAGTCTCCAAATAATTATTGTCCCCAACTTTTAAATGTAGCTCTTTTTTCTGACACACACCTGATACATCAGAAGGGCAAAATTATCTATTGTCTACCCCAATACCACAATCAAGTGGTACAAGTGCTAAAAGGATTTCCATTGTGGTAGAATTACTAAGAAATTTGAAAATTGTGGTACATTTGGCAAAAATCCCTTTTTTTAAGTAATGTTTTAGAAAATACTTTTATTGTTATTTTAAGGGTTGGCTAATTTTATAGCCATAAACTAGTTGCATTCTCAGCTTTTCCCCCAACCTTTTTGTCTCTGAAAATTCCACTATAAACTTTGATAATTCTCACAATTGCAAAATGTATTTTCGGATTCATCCTTAAAACTACGCCTCCAATTAAACCGGCCAATAAACCGGTACCACATAACCCGGTTTGATTTAATTCAAATTTAACCAAATTTAAACCTGATTTTGACCCGAATCTTCTTCCTCTCCACCCAATTTTGACCAGAATTTTTAGCTTCTAAAACCCTAGGCTTCACACCAAATCCACCACCAGATTTCTCCACCGTCATACCAAATCTCGCCTTGAAATCTGCAATTCTCAGTTGGTGTGAACGACGGTGTTTTCCACCGCCGAAGCCACTCGATTCCGCCGCCGAGGAGAAGCTTATACTCACATTAATTGAGAAAACACCACAAAGAAGAGTCTCTGTTTCAGAGAAAGAGCTTATCAAAGCAATCAAAGATAAACCATCAGTGAGACTTAACCACGCTGCGACGGAGCTTGACCGGAGACCTAACTACTTCAATTCAAGCTCCGACGAGTCAATAGCTTCTTCAAGCTGTACACTACAGTTAACAACTAAACCTAGTTGCTTCTCTTCACCTTCATCTGGAGAAATCGAATCTTTAGAACCAAACCTAACTCCAGAAGAAGAAGCTTTACTAACAAAGCTTAAGAGTAATCGAATCTCAGAGATTGAAGAAGCTTTGATTTCGATTCGACGCGTTACAAGAATCGACGAAGGTTCAAAAATCAGTTTATGTACAACGAGACTAATCTCTGCACTTAAGTCACTGATTGTTTCGAGATACGCGACGGTTCAGGTCAATGTCACGGTGGTTCTTGTCAACTTGTCTTTGGAAAAATCTAATAAAGTTAAGATCGTACGGTCAGGAATCGTTCCACCGTTGATCGACGTTTTGAAATGCGGTTCTGTTGAAGCTCAGGAACATTCCGCCGGAGTTATCTTCAGTTTAGCTCTTGAAGATGAGAACAAGATGGCGATTGGTGTTCTCGGAGGTTTAGAGTCGTCGCTTCATTTGATCCGAGTTGGTACTGAGTTGACTCGGCATGACTCAGCTTTAGCTTTGTATCACCTTTCTCTTGTACAGAGTAATAGAGGGAAGCTTGTGAAGCTCGGAGCTGTTCAGATGCTTTTGGGTATGGTGAAGTTAGGAAGAAGAAAAAATAAATCGGGTCAAAATCGGGTGAAGAAGAAGAAGATTCGGGTCAAAATCGGGTTTAAATTTGGTTAAATTTGAATTAAATCAAACCGGATTATGTGGTACCGGTTTATTGGCCGGTTCAATTGGAGGCGTAGTTTTAAGGATGAATCCGAAAGTACATGTTGCAATTGTGAGAATTATCTAAGTTTATGGTGGAATTTTCAGGGGCAAAAAGGTTGGGGGAAAAAGCTGAGAATGCAACTAATTTATGGCTATAAAATCAGCCAACCCTTATTTTAAATTAAGTGATGTTCTCATTATTATCTAAAAATTTATCTTTTTAAATTTCTTATAACCGTTTGCATTCTGCAGAATTTCTTTGTTATTGGTCCAAAATATTTTTCTTAGACAATAATTTGTTTTATTACATAATTAAGTGTCTTTTAGCGGGGATGTGCCTTTAGATAAGTGGTTAAGTCCACTTGACTCTGCCTTCCCCACCGGAGTTCGAGTCCATTAAATCGCGTTACTCCGCGTAGTAGGAATTGGCTATGGATCGGACCTTGTCGATCCAAAGATGTCAAAAAAAAAAAAAAAAAAAAAAAAGTGTCTTTTAGCATTTAGGAAGTTGAATCCGTGGCAAAGATGTTTTAACATTAATCTTTTAGTTCACGAACACGGGCCACGGCAACGTCAAGCTCTTAGATTATTCATATTATCGTGTCTCCATTATTGTCTATTCTTGCTTCCCATATCATCTCTGGCATACAAAGATATGTAAGAGATATACAAGAACATGACAGCTCAGAGAAACTTATACTACTCAAAGATAAAGCTGGAGGCTCTGGTAGATTGAAGAATCTATAGGTTATACAATAATGGTAGGAGAATCTTGCATTCGTGGACCTCGCGGTACGTACATTTCTTCCTAATATGTATATTTCTCCGTAGCGTTCTATTGTTTAATGAGGGGAGACAAAGAAACAAATGTTGCAGCAATATACAATAGATAATGAAACATGACAGAAGAGAAATCTAAATAAATAAAAGAGTTTATTCATCAAATGATTGTAATTTGGTCATAAACAATGAAATAGACTAATACAAGAATGTTGACCACTTGTAAATCTTCTTCATGATTCCATTAACGTTGTCCTCTGTTTTCTTGCCCCCCTCAATGATTTGGTTTGCAATTCTACTGATAATTCACAAATACTCTGCACTTGGCTGCTTAGTGTTAAAACAGAACATATAAGAAAAGATTGTTCAATGAAGATAACACTCTCTTCCTGCAGCCAAACAAGAGAAACAATCTTTATTCAGATACTCTGCCTCATTTACTCCAAACAGATAGTGTATATGGCCGTGTTCTTTTTGTAATCGCTGCATCAGCGATCGGCGACCAAAAATTATAACTACTTCCCCGTCAAATCTGTGGAGAGTAACATCATCATTCTCGTGAATATAGTCGCAGCGACTATAATAACTGTCGCCGCTTTTTCTAGCGACACCGACGACACCGGCATCCTCTGTAAAAGTAGTCGCGGCGACACTTTTACTATGTCTTCTCTGTTTCTTTTTGCCGTTGTTGACGTTTAATTTTCAGTCGCCGAACGTAGTCGCAGCGACAACGTTCCGAACATGGCCATGTCAAAGCAAATATTATTTGCATGATCTCTCAAGCAACAACCCAAGGCAAGATCAATAACCAATTATGGTATTCAAAGTAGTTCATAAGAAAAGAGTACATGACTCTAAAGGCAAGAAGCTGATACGAACAGAGTAACCGAAAATAACTGTTTTATAGAAACACAGCAACAAATATCACTCAATCGATAGTTCTAGTGTTTAACGAACCCTTTAGAGATCTCATCTGACAAGAATATTGCCAACGTCGATAAACAACCTATTATTATAAATCACTGCTGGTTCCTTAGGAATTGAACAGCATATTTCGTATCAAATTCGTTGCATTTGGAGCAAATACAACTTCAAAAAATGAAATATGGACTCGTACAAAGAAGAAAGTTGGAAAAGCTTAGTTAGAGGATACCACTTAGGCAACCAAGCCTTGTTCTTTAGCTTTTTTCAACCATTTCAAGGTAGTTTCAAGTGTAGAGTACGCAGAAGCATCTGTCAAACTCTTGCTATCAACTGCATAATCAAAGACTTCATAAGCCTCTGCGACCTTGCCACTTTTAACCAGAGACCTCACAAGAGTGGCATAACCATTGGTCTCAAGCTTTACACCGCTTGATTTCATCAATTCATATAACTCCATCCCTTTATCCATCAACCTTGCCTTGCACAATCCATGAAGCAAAGTATTATAGGTGCAATCATTTGGAGCACACCCTCTTGCTTCCATTTCTTCTAACAAACTCAACGCACCTAAAGACTCGCCTTTTCTACACATTCCATTCATCAGCGACGTGTAAGTGGCAGTATCCGGCTCATACCCCGCATCAACCATAGTTTTCAAGTACATCCTAGCTTCCTCAACTCTACCAGATTTCGACAATCCATATATCAAAGTATTGTAAGTAATCTGATCTGGCTCAACACCTTCTTCCTTCATTTTCTTATAAACACCAATCGCCTCGCTCCCTTTACTCAGTGTGCAAAAACCTTTCATAATGGTGTTATAGAGGAAACAATCCGGCTTGAACCCAGCATTACCTAATTTACTAACTAGATACATTGCCTCCCTCAAGTTCTTAGAGTTACACACATTATCAATCAAGATAGTGAAGCTAACAAGGTCCGGCTTCACATCGAAATCGTCCCTCATCTCATCAACAAACTCATAAACAACATGTAGATCTTTGCATTTGCACAAATGCTTCAGTAGAAAGTTATAAGTATATGTATCCGGAGGGGAATGTTTCTCCGTCAGCTCCTTCATCAAATCCTTAGCTTCATCAACCCGACCGGTTTCGCAAAGAGACCGAACCGCGATATCGGTTGTTACTTGATCAGGCTCTAAACCATTATTCACCATAAGGTTAAGAACTCTATGAACATTCGAAATCGATGAATCAGGAGCTCTACAAGCATGTGAAAGCAAGATAAGGAACGTAGAACGTCCCGGCCTGAAATTAGGTTGAGATTTCAAAATATGCTGAAACAACTTCACCGTATCGTCGACGGCGGCGATTGAAGCGTAGGATTGAAGAACAGAGTTGTGGAATTTGAGATCGAGTGGGATTCTTGAAGTGGCGGCGATTGAATTGAAGAGGCTTTTGGCGTCTGAGAGATTTGGTGACTTGAAAGGATTCCTCAAGGAGGGCTCGCGAGGGGCTTGAGTATTCTCTGGAAGTTTAGTTGAATCTCTCACGGCTGCTCTGTTGCGAAAATCACGCGGCGGCGCTGGAGGAGATGGTGTTGGTTTTTTGACCAATAAGTTCGCCGGCATAGCACGAAACGACGACGGAACTTTCCCCATTTTTTTCTCTTTTGATTGATTGGAAAAGGTTTTAGCTTTAGGGTTCTTGCAGAGGTTTTTGCTTCTCTGTGTTGAAAATGGACAGAGGACGGCGCATGGTAGTCACACTCGTCTTGTTGCTTACGTTAGCGAATGAGAGAAATCGTAGAAACACATTGGGCTTATTGGGCTTTTTAATATCGGCCCAAATTCAGTGTGTGCGATAGCCTCTCTCCCTCAAGGCCTCAACACAGTTTTCTTTGCTTTCTGTACAAGTTTGTGGGAAAAGCCCTAAAAACAACAATCTTTGGTGGCTAATGTATGTTCTCTTAAGATCTTCTGTGTTTCCTCATTAAAACAATACAAGAACATTGTTTTATAGTTGTAATTTGCAGACCAAATCAAGAGAGATTAAAGAAAGGTACACATTTTGTCTGAATTTGAACAAGATAAGATGTTCAAAAGCTTGTGTTCAGTGTTCACCACAATATCAAAGATTTTGCCATTCTTTAATCAACAACTACAATTTTGTTGATTCCAAAATTACCAAATGCAGAGATTTATCATTAGGAAACAAAACCTCAGAATTTGTTTTATTAGATGACTAAAAACGAAATGAAATGTTCTAACACAAAAGTTATCAAATGGCTCATAAGGCTCAAAGCTAAATTCTCTTAGGATTAAAATTTACCCACAATAAAAAAAGATCAAGTAAAAGTGAAACAGAGCCATTTCTTGACCGCTGGTTTATCACCGTCTTGTTTCCTCTGAGAATTTGTCTTCGTCGAACTCCGTCCAGTCTTTTTATCTTCACCGGCTTTGCTAAATATCACCGTGAATCCATCCGCTGTCGCCGGATCATTCACATCCCATTCCCCGAATTTCGGCAATGCCCTTCCAGCTTCATTCGATGCCATTTTCGATCAAGAAAGTAACAATCTTCTCAAAAGAAAAACTTTTCTTCTTCTTCTTCTTCTTCTTCTTGATAAGTCGATGGTTTTGTTTAAAGATTCTATCACACGATGCAGACTTATTTATAATGGAGAGATTGAACAAGAAGAGAGAGAAAAAAAAAACAGATAAGTAAGATTGTGTTTTGAAATCTTCCTACGAAATGGACTCGTTTCAGACACGGCGGAATATTCTATTGGCTTCTTCTTTCTTTTTTTAATGTCTTAAAATCTTTCTGAGGTACAAAATCGTTGGCCTTTCCGCGTAACAAATCTAATTATAGCCAAATCATATCCATGGCTGATCTGTTTCTTCTTTTTCACGCGGTGGTTTTGTGATTCTCTGATCTTTGTTTCCTTATACACACATGAACCAGAGACCAAGCTTTTTTGTTTCTTACATGGCGATCACAAGCTACCCATTTCATCAGCTTTCTTCCTCAGAAGATACTTTTGTACTTTCCCTGTCGAAGTTTTAGGTATGTCCGCGAAAACAATAGTCTTTGGAGCCATGTAATGCGGCAAATGATCTCTACAGAACCCGATAATCTCCTCGGGTTTGATGGTATCAAACCCGTCTTTCAGCTTCACGAACCCGCAAGGAGTCTGTCCCCAATGATTATCCGGACGTGCCACAACAGCGGCTTCAAGAACCGCTTGATGGCTACACAAAACTCTTTCGACCTCCACCGAGCTTATGTTTTCTCCTCCTGAGATTATCACATCTTTTAACCGATCTTTTATTTCTATGTACCCGTCCGGATGCTTAACAGCGAGATCACCACTATGGAACCAATCTCCTTCGAAAGCTTTTCGTGTTGCCTCTAAGTCCTTGAAGTATCCACTCATCACGGTGTTTCCTCTAAACATAACTTCACCCATGGTTACACCATCATCAGGGACAGTCTCCATTGTCACCGGATCTTTCACATCGAGCCCTTCTAGACCCAAATGCTGCACTCCTTGTCTAGATTTCAATTTAGTTCTCTCCTCCAATGAAAGAGAATCCCATTCAGGTTTCCACACGCAATGTGTCCCTGGACCGTATGTCTCTGTTAAACCGTAAAGATGAGATACATTGAAACCTAATTCTTCCATCTTAGCCAGAATCTGTGGCAGAGGCGGTGACCCACCTGTCATGATCTCAACCCTGTGAGGAAGCGGTTTATGTTCGGTCACAGGAGAGTTCACAATCATATTCAGCACGGTTGGGGCTCCTCCCATGTGAGTCACTTTATGCATAGCAATGTTCTTAAAGATCAGCTTAGGAGAGACTTTCCTGAGACATATATTAGTACCGCCTTGAGCTGCTACTCCCCAAATAAGGCACCATCCGTTACAGTGAAACATCGGCACAGTCCATAAATAAACTGGATAAACAGACATCTGGTGAAGAAAAACTGTAGCAAGAGAATTAAGATAAGCTCCTCTATGGCTATAAACTACACCTTTAGGTCTTGAAGTCGTTCCTGAAGTGTAGTTTATACTAATAGGATCCCATTCGCATCTCGGTTTGATTATCTCGAATTCAGTATTTCCGGATTTAAGCAGAGTTTCATATTCGTAATCAAACGAGTACTTTGAAGCAAAGCTAGATGAGCTATCATAACCATCATCATTAGACTGAGAGATCAACACAAGCTTCAGACTTTTTCTTGTTCTATCTGATTTGGCAAGAAGATCAAGAGCTCCATGAGCAATCTCAAGTAACTGGTGATCAACAAAGAGGATTTTGGCCTCCGAATGTGCTAACAAAACCGACAATGTGGAAGGATCAAGTCGAGTATTAAGCGGACAAAGAATCAAACCAGCCATAGGAACAGCGAAATGAAGCTCATGCATTGCTGGAACATTAGGTGCCAAAGCTGCAACCTAAAAAGGATCCTCATTTATCACTAAACCTAAATCGGATCAAGAAATTGAACAATTTAAGAGACTAACCACATCGCCACGAGAAATTCCGAGGTGGGTAAGAGCAGAAGCAAGACGGAGACAACGTTGATAAGTTTGGAACCAAGTATGTTTAACGGAACCAAACACAAGAGAGGTTCTGTCTCTGTAAACTTTTGCGGATCGTTCCAAGAACGTGATTGGAGATAAAGGAGAGAAATTTGCAGGGGATCGGAGAAGACCCTCCATAGTTCTCCATGATTCCGGCTCGGAATCGCCGGGATTCGGGGTTGAGGAGAAGGGAGAATAAGTGAACCACAGTCTCTGGAAACGTGGAGTGAAGATTTTGAATGCTCTTTTGGATAACAAGAATCTCATGGTTAACACTTTGATTTGGATATTGTTCGACTTCTGACTTCTCAAAAAATTGAAACTTTATCTCCTAATTAAGACGAGTTTGATATGATTCTGTTCTGGGGAACTCACGTGCTCTAATTCTAATGAAAGTCGTGCCTCGTGATTAACGTTTATTAACCGTGTATCGGTGTATAATTAACTGATAGAAAAACATTACCAATTACCATTTGTTTCAAAAATTTGGTGGTAATTTTGAAATATTAAACTGATAGCTGTATTTTTTACAACAAAAAGTGTAGTACTGTAGTGGAAGCTCCTTTGTCTTATTGGTTCACCAAAGGTTAATTAATGCTTCTACACCAAGAAATCTGGGGTTCGAGTCCCTGATATTGCGATTTATTAATAAAATTAGCAGATTAAAAGAGGCAAGTGTGCAGGAGATCTCCAGCGAAAAGTACAATTATAGCCGTTCGCCAGGATTCTACACAGAGAGAAGTGTCGTCAGGTCGTGGATCATTGAAGATGTCCGTCAAGAGCATGGAGAAGGAAGTGTCGTCTGTCGTGGATCTAATAAGGGTCGGAAGGAATTGTCCGTTGTAGAATCGTCTATGTAACAGTTCTCATAATTTGCAATAAATAATAAATCTAGACGTCAAAAAAAAAAAAAGTGTAGTACTACTGTATATTAAGAAATTTTTCTAATTTTTTTATATATTAATGTTAAGTATTTATATTTTTTTCAAGTTTGAAAAAGAAAAAAATACGATAAAACCATCCTCAACTAGTTTTTCTTAGTATTAGCTCTTATGATTTATTTTAATATTAATTTTGAATTTTTTTTATTTAAGAGGTTGCGTAATAGTTTACTATTTTGTGTGTATTCACCGGTGAACTCTTTAAAGAAAAAAAAAATTAGAAAAGATTTGAATTTTTGGATTAAGTAGCAAAGATGAATTTTGGGATTAAGTAGAAAATAAAAAACAAAGACACAAACACAAATACAAACATTGACAAAAAAAAATATGTGGTCTGTCTCCATGTACTCTTTGTCTTTGTCCGATTCTTTTCACGTGAACATGTCCTTCATCTATTTGATTAACCTACACAAAGACACAAAAACATCAATATATGCCACAAAAATATGACTTAAACTAAACTATTCTGATCAAACACACTAAACACATCAAACAAATTGTTCATTTATACATAACATGAACTAGATTGCTAGAAACATAAAGTCATCTTGGATTAAGTAGAATAGCCTAAACAGAAATACAAAGCAACTAATATTGCAACTGAAAATACAAGGAGTAACAGAAACTTAAAAACAAATTAGCTTGATACAAAAGTAGATTACTTATTCCAAACTAATTAGCTTGACAACATGTCTCTAATTAGCTTGTTCTTCAGTTCTAATTAACTAAGAGGCTCAGATTTTGCTAGAAGACTATCAAGCAATTTCTTGTTGGTAAACTAATCTTTCAAAGCAAAATCTTCTTACTTTATTTCCCACAAACTTTGGATCCTTTCCAATGCATTCCTTTCTCCTTCCACATTTGGTGAATTGTTGGCATTTCTTTTGCCTTTACCCTTGGCAGCCTTCACACCAGGTGGACGAGTTTGGGAAGCTTCAGCCCCTCCATGGCTTATTGGATTAGAGCCTGAAGAATGTGCAGCACCATCCTCGGCCTTTTTTCTTTTACTCATCACAGTCTCTTTAATAGACTGTGATGCACACCAATTCTGATCATGTCTTAACTCTCTCCAAGCAGAATCCATGGTGAACTTCTTCTTGTAATCACTTTCACAAATTTGGTGGACTAGCTTCATCAGATCATTATCATTTTGTCCACTCGCCATCTGAGTTGTTGCAGCTTGATGGGATCCCAAAAACTTGCATACATTCTCGTTAATCTTTCCCCATCTTTGTTTAAAGTGACTTGGCAGCCTCTTTTTCAGACAAGAAACTTGGGGACTACCTGCAAAATAGGCTGCAATGCGCTTCCGGAAAACGTCTCCTCTTTGCTCATTACCTACTATGGCATCTTTGCTTGTGTTTAACCACGCAGAGATTAGCACCACATCTTTTTTCCTTGACAACTTGTTTCTCTTTCTTGGTATGCGGTTAGCATTGTTGTTTTCACCTTGACTTGGAGCTTCAGACCACTGGATGCTGAAGACAGAGACTTCAGATTCACCAACTACAATACTTGGTGATTCTGACTCATTAAGTATTGGGATGAAGGCATGTGGTTTCTTGTTGACTGGTTAAAAAGTCCATGAAGCCAACATAATTAGTATATGGATTCATTTAGCCTGAAGAAAAAGTTTCTGGGAGTTTTAAAAGGGGAATGAAAGAGAATAATGAAGAGAATTAGTGTGGCTTAAGCTGCGGGTATAGATACTAAAAGTTGTGGTTTGTGTTAGGTTATATTTGTGGTTTGTAGAGTTAGCATTCAATGGTAAATTTTAAAACTTTACCTAATCAAAAGCAAACAAGAAGTGAACACATAGACCATATACACAAAGAAATCAATAGATGTAGACCGTCCTAATCAACATCTAAACAGACACAAAAGAAACAATTAAAGATACTAAAATGCATTTATCACAAAACAGACACTACCGATCAATAAAACTCAAGTCTTACCTAATCTATATCATGAATATTCAGATGAGTAAATGGAAATGGAAAATAGTTAAAAGAAGAAGAGACGTTTACTTACCCATCAGTAGAAGACACTAAACAAGTATTTATCACAAACCAACACAAAGCAATCAATACATGACTCAAATCTAACCTAATCTATATCTACAAACTCAATACAGGGGAGGATGATGCATTACCTTTCTTCAGTGGTTGATGAATTGCAGTTTCCATCTCAATTCATCAGTCCAAGTTCCTCCTTTTACCCTCATAATAAAACACAAAAGTTTTGATCAATTTCATGTGGTAATTAGCAAAACCTTATCATTTACAAACGAACTTCTCAAACAAACCAAAAAATCATGCGTTTAAAAACAAAAACTATTCAAATTTATGAATAAATTTAAGCTCACACCATGTATGAATCAAAACAATTACAAAACTGATGGAAACGAACTATCTCTGCCTGAAATCGGTAGTACTCTTGGCAAATTACGTTTACCGTAATTACAATCATGCCTAAGAACACAGAAACATACTAATAATTGCTTCAAATAACCCTAATTTCACTAACTACGAAAAACCCGAAATTTCCCAAATCTATGAACCCTAATTTCAAAACACTCAAAGAGAAATCAAATAACATCAATTAGTACTTACATAATGAGATTCCTACCATGAAAAATAGATTGCTGACGGATTTTGTCAGAGTTGATGAAAAGACTCGGAGATTGGGTGAAAATATCAGATATTAAATCCTAAATCGCCGATTTAATGATCCAAATGCGCCGGGAGAGCCGGTGTCAGTTGAGATGATGAGATAACGGCCGATGGATTCACCGGATATAACAATAATCGGAGAGAGAGAGAGAGAGAGAGAGAGAGAGAGAGAGAGAGAGAGAGAGAGAGAGAGAGAGAGAGAGAGAGAGAGAGAGATTGATTTTTGTTTTCTTCTTTTTATTTTACAAATACAATTTCGACACATATGCGTCTCTTACACTAACAAAAACCTCTTAAATAAGAGTTATTTCTTAATCTTTTAAATGATTAATGATTGAATTTTAGTCATCTTAAGCTTAATTTTAGTCATCTTAAGCTTAAGATTCTACTAAAAAACCATGGTTGGAAATGGTCTAAGAAAATAAAGCAAAACAACCAACGAAGTCTGGAGAGAAAACACCGCGAAACTCGGACATTTACGAGATTGCTTCAGCTCTAAAGAATTTGAATTCTCCTCGTCATTGCCACAAGCAAACATTTTCTGAGGCATGTTTTCCGAACTTCCAAAAAAAAATCGTCTATAGTTTCTCTGATAATTAACGCAAAAACAGAATCTCAGGCTGTATAATGAAAAAAACTAATGAAAGTAAATAGAAGAAATTTGTTGGTTATTAATGGTTAACATGAATATAGAGTTTTAGTACAATTCACTCACCAAAAAAAAAAAAAGGAGGTTCAGTACAATTCGGACATTTATATAATCTATAAACAAAACATACGACAAGTTGGCATCATTTGTGGTGGGTCTCTCTACCTTGTACAATATTCATATTCCCCCTCTCGAGCCCCGAGGAATACGATTAAGATTCAACTATAATAATGTTTTAAAAAATATTATTTGATCCCTCTTGATTAAAAAACAATTATCTGATTAAGAGACCCTAATCACAATAACGAACTTGGACTCAATTACGGTCGCGACCAGATAAGGCCAAAGCCAACAAAAAATATATACAAATGATATGAATTTGTAGAACCATTCAAAGCGGTGGACACTGGGACACAACACAACACAAGATCAACGAGAAACCAAACATCAACAACGACCATCAAGAGAATCCACTTAGTTAATAAAAAAAAAAAGATAAAAAGGGTTTTCAAAGTTTTGCATAATATCCATTAAAGTAGCCTCCTTTTTGCTTTCTCCGTCTCTCTTTTATCCAATCAAAAGAGTTTGTGATTCTTCTTCATCGTCTTCTTGGAGATATGAACGGCGATGAGCTTCCTTTCGAGAGGGGTTTCGAAGTTTACGCTAAGGGAACGCATAAGTCAGAGTTTGACTCGAATTTGCTTGATTCTCGTTCTGATCCTATTTGGGATGCTATAAGAGAAGAAGCTAAGCTTGAGGTTTCTTCCTCAAATTCTAACACTTTATCTGCTTCATCGATTCTCACTCTTATTCAGATAAAAAAAGTTATGGTTTTGTGTCTCCATGTTAATCCACAGTTGTTATAAAGTAGTAAATGTATCCATTAGGGTTAAGAGTAAGTCATTCTTGTATCTCTCGTTGAAAGTTCAATCGCTCCATTGATCATTATCACACATGGATACACTTTGAAGGTTGTTTGATTGAGTACAGTGTTTAGTGTTCTAGGCTTTATATAGTTTGTAAATTTGTTGAATCTTACAATGGTGAATCTTGTTGTGGTTACAGGCAGAGAGAGAGCCTATTTTGAGTAGCTTCTTGTATGCTGGTATCTTGGCACATGATTGTTTAGAGCAAGCTTTAGGGTTTGTTCTAGCCAACCGTCTCCAAAACCCAACCTTGCTGGCAACTCAACTTTTGGACATATTTTATGGTGTTATGATGCATGACAAAGGTATTCAGAGTTCGATTCGCCATGATATTCAGGTATAACACTCATCTAATACCTGTGGGTAGACATGATCTTGTTTGTTTTGAGGCTGTTTTCTTATGTGCCATAATGATTGCAGGCGTTTAAAGACCGGGATCCTGCTTGTCTCTCGTATAGTTCTGCTATTTTACATCTGAAGGTAAATCTTTAGTTGAATTTTTGGAGACAGAACATCTCTCACACAGAATGAGTGAAGCTTAAGAGGTTTTCCCTCTGGCATACGTTTTGTTCTACAGGGGTATCACGCGTTGCAAGCATATAGGGTTGCACATAAACTGTGGAATGAAGGGCGGAAACTATTAGCTCTTGCATTGCAAAGTCGAATAAGCGAGGTGGTTTTGGAGATCATTGTCTTTTGCTTACTGAATTTAGAGTTGCATTTTCAGCTCAATGTCTGATCTATGCTGTGGTTCTCTCAGGTTTTTGGAATCGACATACATCCAGGTAGAGTTTGAGCTTCATATCTCTGCTCTCATCTTTTTGAACATTCTCAATTTCCCTTCTCTGGTGTATTAGTTGATCAGGTTTACCGGTAAATTGATTGCTCGTTATACATATTGCTTGAATTCTCTTTCTGCATAGCGGCAAGAATTGGGGAGGGAATATTGTTGGATCATGGAACCGGAGTGGTCATCGGTGAGACCGCTGTGATAGGCAACGGTGTCTCGATCTTACATGTAAGCATCTCTTATCCAAATCATTGCCTGAAAATTCATTACCAAGATCATGATTTTTTCAGTTTTTCAAGGCTACTTGAGTTTTCACTATCACAGGGTGTGACTTTAGGAGGAACCGGAAAGGAAACTGGCGATCGTCACCCAAAAATAGGTGAAGGTGCATTGCTTGGAGCTTGTGTGACTATACTTGGCAACATAAGTGTAGGTGCTGGGGCAATGGTAGCTGCAGGTTCACTTGTGTTAAAGGACGTTCCTTCGCATAGGTATAAAAAGAGAAATGCATCTGACAAAACTTCATGACTTGACACTATTTTGTTTAGTAACAATGGACACCCTCTTTGTATTTTTGAAGTGTGGTGGCTGGAAATCCTGCGAAACTGATCAGGGTCATGGAAGAGCAAGACCCGTCTCTAGCAATGAAATACGGTGAGTTTTCAGATTCTTGTGTTCTTCTGGCTCTGTTGTCTGTCTCGCTTGGATTTAGTATTGGCTGTTCTTCAACGGATATGCAGATGCTACTAAAGAGTTCTTTCGACATGTAGCTGATGGTTACAGAGGGGCACAATCTAACGGTAATTTACACACTTAGAATGAACACTGCTATGCAGAGTTTGGAACTACAGTTTATTTAGAGATCTGAACCTGAATTACCTATTTTACGTGTCTTGAACACAGGACCATCACTTTCAGCAGGAGATACAGAGAAAGGACACACTAACTGCAAATCATGAGATCCTTGTATGCAATTTGCTTATCATCATAAGCCAATGTCAGCATTTCCTCAATAAGTTGTTCAACAAAAGATTTTGATCACTGGAAGTTTTCAGTTCATCTTCTCCCGTCTCAACTCCAATCTCAGACAAACATAAAAGTGTAAATGATTCTTGCTTGAAAATGAATCTAGCATCTCAAATTATTATTACCGAAAAATTCCGCAGACATTCGGAATTCAAGTACAGAAGATGAAACAAAAACTCAAAATCATAAGCATCAAAGCTTACTTAATACACAACAAGATGACCAGAAAGCAAAAAGAATCAAGCATGCCTTGCCTGAAAATCTTTCATGAAAGCAACTAGCTTCTCGACACCGGCCAACGGCATTGCATTGTAAATAGAAGCTCTCATACCTCCCACTGATCTATGTCCCTTAAGCTGCACCATCTTCTCCTTAGCAGCTTCTTTAATAAACTCAGCTTCCAATTCCGATTTCTCCAACGTAAAAGGAACATTCATCAAAGACCTCACAGATTTCTCAACAGGACACCTGAAAAAACCTCTACTCTCATCAATTGCATTGTACAACAACATAGCTTTCCTCTGATTCTTCTTCTCCACTTCCTTCAACCCACCTTGCTCCAACAAATCATCAAACACAAGACCACACATGTAAATCCCGAAACACGGTGGCGTGTTATACAACGAGCTGTTCTCATCATGAATCTTGTAATCAAGCATCACCGGAGTTATATCACGAGCATTCCCAATCAAATCCTTTCGAATTATCACAATGGTGACACCAGAAGGACCAACATTCTTCTGCGCACCCGCGTAAATCACACCGAATTTCGATACATCCACCGGCTTCGAACAGAAATTGGAAGACATATCAGCAATAAGAATACCATCAGGGTTTTTAACAACAGGATAATCTTTAAATTCAACTCCATGAATAGTCTCATTGGCGCATATATGCAAATACTTGGCGTGCGAAGTCTGCTCCAATCCATCAAAAGATGGAACTTTAGTATATTTCTCAGATTTACCAGACCAAATAACTTTAGGGTTACAATATTTCTTCGCTTCCTTAAAAGCTTTATCTCCCCAAGATCCAGTAACAATGTAATCAACGGAATCATCAGATTTGCAGAGATTTAGAGGTAAAGCAGCGAATTGAGTAGTGGCACCGCCTTGTAAGAACAAAACGGAATATTCCGATGGAATCTCGAGAAGCTGACGGAGATCAGATTCAGCTTTTTGAATGATTGAGAGAAACTCTTTACCACGGTGACTCATCTCCATGACACTCATACCAGATCCACGCCAGTTATAGAGATCTGATTGAGCTTTAAGGAGGACGTTTTCCGGTAATGCGGCTGGACCGGCGGCGAAATTGAAGACTCGTTGCTCGGATCCGACGGTGGTTGAAGCGCATCGAATTGAAATGGATGTGGTTCTGGTGGTGAGGTTGATGGTGTTAGGTTTGGTGAAGTGGATGAAGGATTGGGAAATTGATTTGGGTTTCAGGGAAGGGATTTGTGTTTGGTTTCCGATGAGGAATGAGTTCGTCGATGCCGCCATTATCGTTGATCTTGAGGAATCTCAAAACTCTGAAGTATAGTGAAGTGTGAAGAGAGTTGGTGGGAGAGAGATCTTAGGGCATCATCAATGGGGGATCATGTGAGGGTGTTCTTATAGAGAATATAATGTTAAAATAATGTAAGATCATGTGTTTAGATCTTTTGTTTAGAAGTTGATTAGTGGGAGAACATGTGTAAGATCTTAAGACTTAATAATATAATAATCTAAATTAAATTAAGATTTTACAATTATTAAAACATTTAAAAATAACATATAAATTGCAAATGCCAAATTTATGAAAAACTGAAAATAAAAGTGAAAATACAATACTAAATATTTATGAAAAAACATTAAAAATATAAATAACAATAAACAAATAAACATATTACTTAATAAAAGCACAAAAACATTTTATCTAATTAATACATAGTTTATTATCCAAATTTATTCCAAATATGTTGAATATTCCAACCAATGCCCAAATGCCACGTCACCCCGCAACACCCACAAGAACAGATCCAGGTCAAGAGCCCAGTTCCTGATCTTAAGCCCATTGACCCATTTTTTTGGATTTAAATAATGCTTAGATCAGGGGGGGTGATCCCCCAATGCAGATGGTCTTAGAGTCCGAGTCACCTATGCCACTATGTGGGAAAAATCAATGTGGCGTGCCACCTTATAATCTGAGTGTCACCATAAATGTGATATCCTCAAATTACCCTTAATGAAATTAGGGCGAATTGGTACGGAATAGTACAACTTGGTACAACTAAGAAATAATAATACAACTGGTACAAATAAGAGATTGTATGATAACTGGTGCAAATGGTACAACTGAAATATAATTGTACAACTGGTACAACTATATATAAATATGAACAATTGGTACAAATGGTACAACTGAAATATAATAGTACAATTGAAACAACTAGTACAACTAACATATGAATAGGGACAACTAGACAACTGGTACAACTGATACATAAATAGGGACAACTAGACAACTGGTACAACTGATACATAATTATAAACCCTAGCGCCATCATCGTCTCTTCTTGCTTTGTTCATTGTCCACCGCCGCCGATTCTCTTCCACCACCGATTCTCCTCCACCACCGATTCTAAGCCGATTTGGAGAAATCTAGATCGGGATTATTGTTAATCTCAGATCTGTGAGAAAAACGAAGATCTATGGATCTAGAATGAGAAGATCGAAGAGAGGAAAGAAAGATCCATGGAGAAAAAGAGATTTAGAGTTTTGTTGATGGTTAGAAGAGGAAGAAGAGATAGATTTCGAAAAATCTAGAAGAAGAAGAAGAAGAAGAAGAAGAAGAAAGAGATGAAGGAGGAGAAAAGTGAAAGATTTCGAAAAATCTAGAAGAAGAAGAAGAAGAAGAAGAAGGAGATGAAGGAGAAAGAGATGAAGGAGAAGGAGGAGAGAAGCGTGAAAGTGGAAGAGAAGAAGAAGAGAAAATAATTATGTTGTTAGGTTGGCAATGACAGAGTACGTAAATACTGAATTAGGGTAAGAGTTTTTTGACATTTACTACAGATTTTATATTAAAAGAAAAATAAAAAATATAATAAAAAATAGGAGTGGCATAAACGATTAAAATTCTTGAGAAAGTGGCATTAGTGACAAAAACTCGAGATCTTAAAGGGGAAAAATGTTGTTTAATAGCCGAACTTTTAAAAAATGGTCGTTTAATACGTGAATTTCTGATATGGTCAATTTAAACATGAACTTAAAGTTGACCGGCCGTTTAAACCAAATGTATTTGTTGACCAGGCCAAAACGCCACACCGTTATCTGTCGTTAACAGATCCGATAACGGCCGTTTACACTCGTTAACGAGTCTCCGTTAGTACCGAAAACGACGTCATTTTATCCTTAAACCGAACCCAGAAATCGAAATCGATTTTATCCCCAAATCATAAACCTCAAATCCCTAAATTTCAATTCTTTTAGCTTTCAATCTCAATCTTCATCGTTCCCAATTTCAATTCTTTGAGCTTTCAATCTCAATCTTCATCGAATTCTCGAAAGTGAGCTCAAGAAATGAGTCGAGTGAAGAATTAACATAAAATCTCCGAGACTTCAAAGGAGGAACGGAGAGAAACCCAGTAGCCGGAGTTGCAGCGAAGACGATTGAAGAAGCCATGGCCAATCAACTCAGATAAGAGCAATCGCTCTGTTATTCAAAAAAAAAAAGATGATGTTTTTATTTTCTCTTCTTATAATAAAGGGTGATTTAGGTGAATAACCCAAAAAAAAAGAAAAATTAGTTTTTTAGAAAGAAGGTAGAGAGAGATAGGAAGAGAAAGAGAGTGAATAGGGGGGGTTAGAGGTTAGATATTTAATTTTGTTGTTTTTTTAAGTTATAGGGTGCAATTTCTCATAAAGAAAAATTAGTTTTTTAGAAAGAAGGTAGAGAGAGATAGGAAGAGAAAGAGAGTGAATATGGGGGTTAGAGGTTAGATATTTAATTTTGTTGTTTTTTTAGGTTATAGGGTGCAATTTCTCTATAATAAAAGAGGAAGAAGGAATAAGTTAAGTACTAATCTACTAATGAGCGATGAAGAAACTTGTTTGTGATGATGATGAATTGATGATGATGTATGATGCTTTCTCTCCTCATAAACTCTGTGGTGTTAACAACTGTGTTCAGTGGGCTTAACTATTTTTATTTTTTTACATAAATCAAAACTTATTCGATTCGAACAAAAATTTCAATTAGGTGAAGGATTGAGACCTAAAACACTATTCAGGTCTTGCTTCGCCTCGTATAGGAGATCTAATCATCGCTATGACGCCATTCTTCCTAACTAACACCATTTGGGAAGACAATTTGAAGATTTGGGATTTTTGGGATTAGAGTTCTTATTTTGGGGCTTTCTCAACATTAGGGATTTCAAAATCAATTTTGGGGATTTAGGGATTTTGATTATGTCTAAAACGACATTGTTTTGAATAATAACGGAATGGTTAACGAGTGTAAACGGCCGTTATCGGATCTGTTAACGAGAGATAACGGTGTGGCGTTTTGGCCTGGTCAACAAATTCATTTGGTTTAAACGGCCGGTCAACTTTAAGTTCATGTTTAAATTGGCCATATCAGAAGTTCACATATTAAACGGCCATTTTTTGAAAGTTCGGCTATTAAACGACATTTTTCCCGATCTTAAAGAGGTCAAAGTTATTAAAAAAAACGAAAACGACGCTGTTTTTGTAGGTAGCTCAAATTAGGATACAAAATACATTTCAAAATCAAAACAGATCAATCCATGTGTATTTTTAAATTGCACAAACCGACAAAATTACTTACACATTTTAGGTTAAAGTTCAAATAATAATATAGAGATACACAAACCAATAAAACATCATAAGTTGAATAAAATTTCATGTAAAAATATTTACAAAATTTTAGTTTGTACAATAAACTAAAATGAACAAAAAAAGCTGTAGTGTAGTCTGCAGTAAAAGAATGATTCACTCATTTATCATTCATTATAGAGTTTAATACTGAGAAGTGAAGTGAACAGAGAGTTACAATAAAAGTTGGTACAACAAATCAGAATTAATCATAAGACAAATTTAATTGGCCTTTTTTTTTCTTCTAATTTGTGCTACAGAGTGAATGAGGAACTATGTCAGGAAGCTGTACAAATTACTTGTTGTTCTTTTGGCTTAAGGATGATGAGACTCAGACATTAGAAAGTGTGCAGCTTCACATTTTGCTATGTACCCAAATTTGGATGTGTTGTACTTCCTATATACTCCTGTCAAGTTCCCTGTCGCCGCCCTCTGATGAAGACTCACCAGTTTCCGCAAACATTCCCTGCGAAACCCGCAATGACATTTCGTTGAAAAGATCAGTATTTTCTCAGTAAAAGTTTTTGTTATGGACTAAAGAGACCAGTGTTGGTTAAAATAATGGTGTTTTTTCAATACTCTTTTGTGTTTATGGATAAATAAGGATCAGTATTTACTTAAAAGTGGATCAGTATTTGTCTACTTGAGAGAGAGAGAGAGACTTACATGAGCTGATCTTCAGAGTAATGACAATAGAATTCACATGTACTGTTCCATTGCCTGAAACCATGAAGTGTACATTGAGCAGTGTACACAGATGTGGCAGCTAGTAATGATGGTGGAAACCGAAGCATCTCATACTCCACAAGCGCAAGCTCGATCAAGAACGATGCCAAGACCTCACACTGTTTTGTTTCAGTTCACAGTTAGTTCCTTTCTAAATTCAAAATTCTAGTTAAAAGGTTCATGAGACCATTGTGTTATGACATACCTTCTTGTCTGCTTGAGCTGCCTTGAGAAATCTTTTCAAGAAAGGGTATTGTGTCGGCAACGAGATATTGAATTGCAAAGTACTCAACATTGTTTTCTCCTGTAGAGAGAAAAGGAATCAATTAGAGAATGTCTTAACATAAATGAGACAAGATTTCTTTCTCTTTGTAAAAAAGCCAGCCTTTACCATCTCTAGAACATCGTTCCTCGTATAAGCTTTGTCTGAAATGAGTACTAAATCTTCGACAACAGGAACCGAAACCTCTTCGTACTTGCAAGCTAAGAGCAAAGCCACTAACCCTACAAGCTGAAGCTTCTTTCTCATAACAGATTGCTTGGCCAAGAATCTATCTATCAGATTGACTGTCAGAAACAGTGTCTCGTTCATCAGATCAAACTTATCATGCACCTGAAATTTACTTAAGCACCTTTAGCCTCTATCAAACTACACAATACAACAATGTAGTGATGACCGTGGAATGTTGTGGATAATATACCTCGATTAACCAGTCAATTAGTATTGCTCTCATCTTCTCGTTTAAGTCTATTTGTTGCATCATATAATCTACTGGAACACAACTAAAGCTCTGCAAATTCAAATCAAGAACTGTTTTAAAGAAGCTCTCAAGTCACTTATTACTTCAAAAACAGATAATACTAAAGCATAATATACCTCCATTGTTCTGTAAAATGCGTAAAGATCTTGGACATATTCAACAGCTGCAAGTGAGTTCTTCGCATCTGAGACATCGATATCAAAGATCGGTTCTTCCACTGTTACATCCTCCATCTCAACTTCCTCCTATCCAATTAAAATTTACCTTTAAATCATTGATTTATGAATCGAATTCATCAACAAAAATTACGCATTCTTAGTGTTCTTGTTTACCATTGGGTCAGCTTCAATGATGCTTGTGAACGGCCTCTCAAGCGACATTGGCATCGGATGGTCCAATGTAGCTTCCTCTTCATCAACAAATATACAGTCACCGAAATCATTTGCACTACTTGGAACAGATGGCTTCAGCTTCTTCTTAGTCTCCTCTTCAACTCCAGATCTGCATATACAAAAAAATCTCAAATCTTTCTTTCTTTCAAATCAAAAACGAAATTAAAAGATTCAAGCTTTATGTACCTTGTAATTGAAGGACGCAAAGAATCAAACTTCTTCTCTTGACATCCTTCTTCTTCTTGCTTACTGATACAAATCATCCAAAACCCATAAGCACAATCAAATTCAAAGACACTAGCTTGAAAGTTTGGAGATTTTGTTGAATATTACTTAGATAACAATAAGCTTCCTCTCTTGTTGACAACACAAGGATAAACTTTTGCACCAACAAGATTCTGATTAATCACACCCAACACTCTTCTCTTCTCTTTCTTCATCTCTTGTCCGAATTTTCTACTTCTTGTTTCATCTAAAACAAAACCAAAAAAGAACACAACACCATTGTCAGAATCTCTCCATTGGTATATAAGACCTCAAATTCTCATTTATTACTCTTGAAAAATTCGACTACCTTGAAGAATCGTTGTAGTGGGTTCACATGAATAAACCATTTTTCTTCGTTTTTGATTATTACAAGAGAAACCCACAAAGAGAGTAGAAGAAGAGCATTAAACGAAAGTCTGATACAGACGAATCTGAAGTAGGAGATGAAATAAGCAAACGAGGAAGATACAAACAAATTTTTTTAAAAAGAGTTAAATCTTTATTAAATTAAAAAAAAAAAAAGAACGGCTAGGATCAGAATATAACCGTTGGATCATGAGAGAAACGATTTACTTCTAAGTTTGGTTTATATTAAGACAACGGTAACTTTGGTTCAAGGCATGTGGCTTCGTCTTTTATTTCAAAATTTTATTATTCTTTTTTTTTTGGTGGTTTAAACTTTTTTTTAAGACAAAATTGTACGCTCCATTAGGCGCGCCTCTAACAAACTTTTTGATTAAAACTCTATGTTTTAATCTTTAAATTAAGTATGATTAGTAATTTATAATCTTAGCTTATTAATTTATCACATTTACAGAGCTAATCATGCTTTCTCAGTCTCTCTTATGAGGAAAATTCGTTAGGAGACAGACAAGATTCTGTACTGAGAATTATGCTGGCCCGTGAGAGTTATTGTTTTCCATTTGAAATTAGTTTTGTAGGTGAATATTTACTAAAGTATTTGGAATTTTGCTGGCCTGTCAGAGTGTTATTTGGAATTTTGGATTAGAACTTATATTTCACGATTTAGAGTATAAATATATATAAATAGGTTATCGGCAATGAAGAATGATGAATAATGTTTAAACATATCATAGTTTCCAAAAAAAGTTATGGAAGTTTTCGAAAGCTTGTGTGTGATTTACAGATTGTGAAATTTTTTAAAACCTTACGAAATTTTTGAAAACTTGCTAAATAAACTGTTATTGAAATCGTATTTAAATTAACAATTCCGATTATGCTTGAAAATATATTTTGAAAACAACGTATGATATCAACAATGATTTTCCTTGTTTTTTTTATAATGGGAAGACTTGTTAAAATTTTGGAAACTTTGTGAAGGTTTACAAAAAAAATTCAAAACTTTTCCTTTCACAAGTATAAAAACAACTTTTTGACGCTCACGGCAAGATAATGTCATGTGACTAGCCAAAGAACTAAGAAAAAAGTTGAGTTTTGGGCCATGGTAAGTTTTTTTTTTTGCTCAATATGCGTATGTGTGAGCTTAGAATGGAAAGTAACCATTCCGGCAGGGATCCAATGTTTTTGAGAGTCATGTACCATGAACAAAACCGGATATTAATTAATCGACAATTTTGGCAACGGGTGAACGGAAAAGAGGTGGAACTTCTTACATAAGGCTGAAATACCTTTTTGTGTGAAGAAGTGTGATGAGGTTCGTCATGTTCTTGTTTATTTTTTGTGTGTGTCTATCTATTCGCTTTTACTAGAAACAAAGATGATATATTTATAGAGAAAATATATGATCCAAGTTAGGAGAACATATTTTGAGTAATTGAGTCAGATTGCGCTAGTCGTGAGATCTTAGACAACCGATTACAATGTGCTAAAAATTGTTCGAACCGAAAAAAACATAAAAGAAATTAAGCACCAAAAAAAGTTAGTCATCTACCATCATAAGCATAAGCATAAAGAATAGTCAATGTTTACAAAAATCTAGGCAGAACGGGCAATGCCAAGGAATGAAGCCGTGAACATGGGGGAGCCTCCTTATCTAGATTTTCAATAAAGTAGTTAAAAGTAAAAAAAAAATGTATTATTCTCTTAAACCAAACGCGTAAGCAGAGCCGGCTCTAACATTTTGAAGGCCACAAGCTTAGAAAAAAAAAGAGGCCTAATTTC